CCTCCCGCAGATGGCAGCAAGAGGCTCAGACGCTCCCTGCACCCAGAGACCTGAACTGGTGCATTTTTGAGCGGGCAGTCAGTCTGGGTGTGTATAGACTTGCTAGAGAGAGCACTGTGCCTGGTGGAGACCATTGCAGCCTAGCTAGTGGTAGACCGCCTTTAGAGGAGTTGTTCATATGGTCCGGGGGGGAACGCTCTGCCCTCCCTTCTTGCCCTGCCTGCATGAATTGCCTCCCACTCCCTTCTGATGCGCCATGCCCTGTTTGCCCTCCCGGATCGCTGCGTTCCTGGTTGTCTTGCTCCCCAGGGGCAGCTTTTGAACTGCCAAGGAGGGGGCCCTGCTGGCTCTGCCAAAGCCTTGTCATCCTCTGTGGTAAGGGCTGCTGGGTCCTGGCATCTCCCACAAGTGGGCTTGATGCTAGAAAAATATAGCCCTGCCTGTCCGATCCCCTGCTCTGCTGCAGAAAGGGTTTGCTCTGGAGCTGATCACCTCGGCAAGATGTTGCACTTGCACCAGGCATTGCATGGGGGTGTTGCAGAGCACACTGCGTGAGGATGTCGCAGGGGGATGTTGCACACAGCACTGCACAGCGCATTACATTGCCCTTTGCAAGGGGATGTTGCAGATAGCCATGCCTCTTGCAGGGTGTGGCACAAGGGCGTTGCACAGGGCATCGCATGGGTATGTCACACCTGACATCGCGTGGGATAATGCCTAGAGCTTTGTACAGGAGTGTTGCATGGGAGCGTTGCACGGAACATTCCGTGGGGACATTGTACAGAGCAGGAAAAAGGGGCTCGCCCACCACTGACCCCATCCCCATCCCTGCTCCAGCGCAGCCCCCAATCTGCTGCCCCAGTAGTTACCCAGAGGTGTTGTAGAGCATGTTGCAAGGAGATGTTGCACCGGGCATTGCATGGGGATGTTGCAGAGCACGCTGCGTGAGAACATCACAGGGGGATGTTGCACGGAGCACTGCACAGCACATTGCATTGGGCATTGCAAGGGGATGTTGCACAGAGCAATGCCTCTTGCAGGGTGTGGCACAGGGGTGTTGCACAGGGCATCGCATGGGGATATCACACGTGATATCACACAGGACAAGGCCTAGAGCTTGCACAGGGCGTTGCATGGGGAAGTGGCATGGGGAAGTTGTGTGGAGCTTTGCACGAGAGCATTGCACAACATTGCGTGAGGACGTTGCATAGGGCAGGGAAAAGGGGCTCGCCCACCACTGACCCCCATCCCCATCCCTGCTCCAGTGCAGCCCCAAGTCCGCATCATCCCCGCGGAGATGGGGAACGCCCGTGTGCCCGTCTGCCTCAGCTGCCACATCTGGGGCTTCTACCCCCCGAGGTGACCGTCATCTGGCTGCACAACGGGGACATCGTGGAGCCCGACGACTACAACCCCATCTCCGCCATCCCCAATGGCGACTGGAGCTACCAGAGCAAGGTGTCCCTGCTGGTGGCCCCGGTGGCAGGCGACACCTACATGTGCTCGGTGCAGCACGTCAGCCTGCAGGAGCCTCTCCTGGAGGACTGGAGTGAGTGGAGAGGCGCAGGACCGCACCCGGAGGCCGGCGGTCTTGGCACCTTGCTGCCACTCACCCGGCCGTGTCCCCACAGGTCCCGGACTGATGCCGGAGGTGATGATACTGGTGGCGGTGGCCACCGTGCTGATGGTGCTGGGACTTGGCTTATTTCTCGCCGGCATCTACCGCTTCAGGGCCAGTCCTCCCGCCCCGGGTGAGTGTCCGGGGAGAACCGGGGCCGTGGTCAAGGGCGTCGAGGACTCTGCTCACTCCTCTTCTCTCCCCCGCAGGTTACACCCCCCTCCCTGGAGACAACTACCCCGCAGGTAACGGTGTCCCCATCCCCGTCCACATCAGTGAGGGGCAAATTTCCCCATCTCTCACCCTGTGTGTCCCCCCCTTCCCCAGGCAGCATCTGAGGACCCCCAGACGGACACCTCCTGGCACCGGTGGCTCCCGGTTGGCCCCATCTCAGACCCAATGTCATGGTGCTGACAATAAAGATGCTCCACAAGCCCCACTGGTGTCTGTGAAGAGTTCTGGGCACAGGGCAGAGGGTCACGCACTCCTACAGTGTCTCACCAAGATTAGCGGGTGTGGGGGGGCCATGGCATGGGACCCCAAAGGGCAAAGCGTGCCCTGGGGTGCCTCAGGCACGGCACTGTTGGCCGGCCGAGGGAAGGGATCATCCCGCTCTGCTCGGCCTGCTGCGGCCTCGCCTCGAGCACTGCGTGCAGCTGTGGGCACCGCAGCAGACGAAGGGCGTGAAACTGTGCGAGAGCCTCCAAGGGAGGGCTACGAGGACGGCGAAGGCTCTGCAGGGCAAGGCGTGTGAGGAGACGGTCTGCTGCAAGACGCCTTCCCAGGCAGCAAGGCCTCAGGACACAAAGCACCCAGGAAATGCCACTGCCAGACTCCATCTTCCTGTACAAAACTTATTTGACACAGTCCTGCTGCTGCATCTTGCATAGATGTGCTCCAGAGGAGGGAACAAAGAGCCCCCACAGGCTGCTCATGCTCAGCACCAGGCACAGAGCATGGATCAACCCCAACCTAGGAGGCAAAGGTGGCCTGCAATGGCCGGCAGCACACGGTGACCACATCCCTTGCCCTGGGGTCTGCAAGCAGTGCAAGCAGAGGGGAGAGGAGCGTGGAGAGCTGCTGCAGCCCCTGTGCTGCCTGCTGGGGCTCAGAGGCAGGGTGAGACCCGTGGGTGCCAGCAGGGCTTGTGCCCCAGTCCAGGAGTCCTGGGTAGGGCAGAGCCCAGGGGCTGCAAGGGGCCTGGTTCCTGCTTGCAGCATCCCAGCCCTCCACCAGCAGCAGGGAGGAATGCAGGGAACCCCTGCCCCTCATTCCTTTGCTGCTCCTGCAGGATCAAGGAGAGGTGATGCAGGAGTGTCTGGAGAAGGGCAGGAGGTCCCAAGGCCTCGGGATGGGGTCGGTAGTGTGCTGTCTCTCAGGCACAGCTGAATTCCCCGTGTCCACAACAGGAACCAGGGGTGGATGGTCTCCCCATTGAAGGAGGCTGCTCTGAAAGTGAAGATCTGGACCCCATTGTCAGCATTGATAAAAGACACCTGTCCCTGGGTACAGTCCAGACAGACCCAAATCCTTGTGGGAACATGGGACAGGGACACGGGAGTGGGAGGCCATGTGAGAGACTTGAGCTGCCCCTCATAGTACTGCAGAGCCCAGATCCCTTCTTCAGGGATTATGTTGATCCACTTCTTTCTCTCCACAGAAGCCCTGGCCACCCCCACAGCCCACCGTGAATACTTTAGCCGCTCTCCCTCCACCTCCACCAACCAGCAGTGTCTCCCCTCTCTGAACTCCTCACAGCCCAGCAGGCAGCACTGACAGTCAAATCTCTCTGGTGTGTCAGGGACCTGCTGCCGTTCACTTCCGCATCTCACACTGCTGTTGTCCTGAGACACCACAAGCCAGGGATGAGCCGTGTGTGGATCCAGGGTCACCTTCACTGCAGGGACAGAAGGAGCCAGGCCATCAGGGGCAGAGCTCAGCCCTGGGCAGGCTTTCCCCAGCTCGGGGCCAGGAGCTGTCCCACGGGGCAGGAGATGGGGCACCTCTTGGCTCCTGAACATGCCCCACCAGGGGCAGGAGAAGCACTTCAGAGGGCTACCCAATGCACACCTACCTCTATTATGAGGCAGTAGACACCGTCTCCATGCTGGAAGGAGAGGGGAGAGCTGATCACAGCCCATGGCTGGTGCCCAGTGAGTGTGGGCAGGGTGAGGGGCCAGCCCTGGGCTGCTCTGTCCCAGCTGCCCACCCTCCCTCACATTGCCTTGGCATAGCCATGTGTCGAAGCACCAGGACACTCACCCAGCTCTGCAGCTTGTTTCTCTGAAAAGGAAAGTGAAAGTAATGCATGATCAGAGGGAGAGTTGTTCAGCCTATGTTAGACCCTGAACACATCCCATGACTGGGATAATACAGCCTTGTTCCAAGGTGGGACCAAAAACATAGTGGTCCAGCTATGAACAATGCTCTTAGTGCATCTGGAAACACAGACACTTGTGCAGATTATATCCCAGTGGTACCGTAGACATTACCGAAATGAAAAAAAGATTGTTGGAGGATATTCCGTTCCTGTCCCAGAAGCGTCATTGCAGAGCGGGGCAGCCCCGCAGCTCGCTCCCCGTCCCCACCTTGATCCCCGTTCCTTTCAGCCATCCTGGCCGTGCCCCATGCCCAGGGCAGCCCCAGCCCCAGCACTCCCCACTCCCACCCCAGGCTCCAGCTGCTCCTCCAGCACCCCCGAGCCACCAGCACACAAGCCCTCAGAGCCCACCCAGACCAGGCCCTCCCACAGGGACAACACCACTTCCCAGGGGCTGGGGGCAGGGACTGCAAGGACTCTCCCAGCTCTCGGCTCTGTGCCGCTGAAAAGCAAAGGCGGAGGAACAGGTGGTGAGCAGAGCAGCTTGGTTGTTGGGTGGGAACAAGTGCAGGGGGGCTGCACCTTGCCACCAGCCCCATGCTGCAGCCATGCTCCCTGGCCTCCCACCCAAGGCCCCTTGCCTTCTCCCCTGCCTTCCTTGCCCAAGACAAAGGCCCAAGACCATCCTAAGGCCTTTGGCATCCCCAGGAGAACATTCCCTTCCTCCTTCTACGCATCTCCCTGGGCCAGGGCTCAGCCCTGCTCCAGACCCAAGAAGGGTCCCCGCAGAACACCTCCCTGCGCTCCATCCCTGCGCTGCCAGCTTACCTTGCTTTCGGAAGAGATAAACACTGAGGCCAATGGACACAGCCAAAAGCACGAGGACCAGAGCCAGAGCCACCATCCAGGGCTGGGTGTTGTGGAAGAAGGGAACTGAGAAAAGGCACCAGGAAAAGGGCTGTGTTTACATGTCCATGGATGGAAGAGCAAGACCCAGACTTCTCGCAGCTCAGGACAAGTGCAGGGGCCAGGAACACCTCACCCTGGCTGTGCCATTTGTACCTGCAATGTGCAGGGATGATTCCTTTTCCTCCTCGAGGCAGCTGTTCCTGACCACGCAGGACAAGGGCCCCTCCACGCTCCCGGTCACGATGACGGTGCCTTCGATTTCAAAGAGCCCCTCCTGGTCCTGGGAATGTGTCTGGGAGACCGAGGGCAGGTGCTGCCCGCGAGCATCCCTCCACAGCAGCTGCGGCAGCGGGTACCAGCCGGCCGATCGACACAGCACCCGGACGCCTCCGGCCTCGTAGCCCCCCAGGGAGAGGTGGGGGTCAGTGCCTGTGGCTGGGGTAAGAGCGCGTGTTTGGGGCTTGACTTGGGGAGGAATTCAGTTCCAAGGCAAAGACCCCATCTGCTCCCATGCCAGACACAGCACAGACAAGCCATGTCCCCAGGGGCTCAGGGACTGGACGCTTCAAGGAGCCACTCTCACCCCTAACCCGCACCTATTGTTGGCACAGCTGAAGGACCTGCTCAGAAACCTGTGCCCACTGCCCACACAACACCATGGGGATGGAGTTCAAATAGGGTCCCTGAGACTGAATTAAATCATTGCATTCATGCAGCTCTCTCTCAATAAAAAGCCTGCAAGGGCACAGGTGTACTTCTTGGTGGACAAGTGCTCACTGACAGAGGAGAAGGCTCATCACACTCTACAGTTCGAAAGGGCACGTAGGTGGCCATGAGGATGGGACCGGGTCCTGGGTGGGACACACAAACCCAGGGACACCTGCACCACCCCTTGGATGTATCACCCCAGCCACTAACCTGACACCTCCAGCTCCACTATGGTTTCAGCATAAGCATCAGCATCTCCCACAGTGCAGATGTACTGGCCATCATCAGAGGGTCTCAGCCCCATGATTCGCAAGTCCAGGTTTCCAACAGAGAGACCATCTCTGGCCAACTCTGTCCTCCCGGCATATGCCTCCATCTGCTCCCCGTACAGGTCCTCTCCATTGTGGTAGTGGTGCACTGTCTCAGGTAACCTGTGCCGAATCCACCTGACCTCCAAGCTGCGAGCATCGCGTTGAGGGGACAAGTGGCAGGGCAGCACGACGTCCTGCCCAAGAATGGCAGTGAGAGGGTGTCCTGGTCCCACCACTCTGAGCTGGGCTGGGCAATGGAGAAGGGCACAAAGAGGTGGTGAGATTTTGCCATTGTAAATTTAGGGGCAATGAGTGTCAAAGGGGGAGCTGTGCGTGAGTTGGTGCGTGCTGCGTCCCTTGTGTATCGTGGGAAAACACCAGGGAAAGAGGAGAAACACAGGGAGGACATATAGGAAAAGGAGGTGTGCTGGGAGTGGGATCCCTCTCTGCAGCATTTAGGTGGGTGAAGGAGACACAGAAAGGGCAGGCAAGGCAGCAGCCATGTTGCGTGAAAGAACCAAAGTGAAAGTGAAACCCAACATGGGCGAGCTGTGGGCTCCAGACCCCCCTTCCCAAAGCCGCTCCCCTGTCCCACAGCAGCATGTGTGCCTTCACAGGGGCCCCCAGCAGCCCCACAGGATCTTACCTGAGCCCAGCTGTAGGAGGAGCAGAGTGATGAGGGAAGTCAGGAGGCCCCTAGCATAGCCGGTGAGGCTGGGGTGGCTGCAGCCCCAGGGGAGCCCCATCTGAGAGAGAGGTCCCCCAGGGGGCAGGGGGCCCCCCAGGGGTTTTTCTCCAAGCCAAGGTAGATGTCCCTCACGGCACCCAGCAGAGCTGCAGAAAGTACAAGTCTCCACCCAACTTTCCCAACCTTTGCCCTGTTCCTGGCTGCAATAACCCTCCTGGAACAGCTCTGCCCATGGGGCAATGTCTGGGGAGCTCTGCAGGGCTGGCACCACCATCCCATTGTAGCTGTGTGCCCAGTCCACTGCCTTTAGCAAGCACGAGAGGCTTGACCCCAGTGGGGGCGTCTCCAGACCTCCAGGGAAAGCCACTGGCTAAGGTCGTTCATCTCCACGCATGCAAGGAGGAATCAAACTGTGAGCAATGGGAAAATGTGGAGAGATGGCAGTGAAGAGCTGAGCAGGATCGGAGGCTGCAGGGAACGGGGCACAGCTGGGTGCCGAGCCCAGAGCTGCCACCCTTTGCCCAGGGTGCTGAAGGCAACATGCCTGTGCCTCTCCCGGCTCCAGTAAAGCAGCTGTGGCAGAAGGTTTGCTCAGATGGGCAGGGACCTTCTTCTAGAGCTTAGGTGGATAAGGAAAGTTCCTGTTTGCTGGAAGGGAAGTCAGGCAACATGGAAAGACTGCAGAGGTACTGTTTGCCTTTGTAGGGTGGAAATTCATATGGCTCCTCCATGGGCTGCAGTGTGGAGATCTGCACCACCTGTACTCCCGCTCCATCCACTAACTGCCCCAGTCCCCTAACGTCCCGTTTGATAGCCTTCAGGCTTCTCTCCTCAATGTCATCACTGCCAGCCTGGACTATCAAAGGAGGATAGCAGTCCTGAGGCATGGAGTCGACTTCCTCACCCTAGGCATCCTCCTGGCTACACTTTCTACCTCTTCCTCAGCTACCGGTCTCTCAAGCTCCAGGGCCGCAAACCTGTTGTGGAAGGGCACCTGGGAAGGTGGGGCCTTTTGGGGAGGGCATCACCTGCGATGTCGAGCAGGGACCTGTCTCCATTCCTCCTCAACTCCTAGGTCCCCTCCCTCTGCCTGAGAGCGACAGGGGAGGGGGTCCACCCCCATTTGGGGTGTCTCATCCCAGTACCTCTCCTTCAGGCCCCGCACGGAGTTGCCCCACCACTCTGTCTCCCGCTCACACTCCCTGATAGCCCGCAACCTCTCCACCTCCTCCTTGAGTTCTGCCACCAGGCGGACCAGGTCATCCACCTGCTCGCACCTCACACTCACATAGAGCCTCCTACAGATGACAGCAAGAGGCTCAGACGCTCCCTGCACCCAGAGACCTGAACTGGTGCATTTTTGAGCGGGCAGTCAGTCTGGGTGTGTACAGACTTGCTAGAGAGTGCACTGTGCCTGGTGGAGACCATTGCAGCCTAGCTAGCGGTAGACCGCCGTTAGAGGAGGTGTTCGTATGGTCCGGGGGGCAACGCTCTGCCCTCCCTGCTCGCCCTACCTGCATGAACGGCCTGCCACTCCCTTCTGATTCGCCATGCCCTGTTCACACACCATGGTCACCATATTCCTGGTCGTCGCGCTCCCCAGGTGCTACTTTTGAATGGCCGGGCAGGACGTGCTGCTGGCTCTGCCTACGCCTTGTCATCCTCCGTGGTGAGGGCTGCTGGGTCCTGGCGGCTCCTTCAAGTGGGCTTGATGCTGTAAAAAAATAGCCCTGCTTATGGGATCCCGTGCTCTGCTGCAGAAAGTCTTCCCTGGATATGATCGCCTTGGCAAGATGTTGCACCGGGCATTGCATGGGGGTGTTGCAGTGCACACTGTGTGAGGACGTCGCAGGGGGATGTTGCAAGGAGTACTGCACAGAACATTGCATTGCCCTTTGCAAGGGGATGTTGCAGATAGCCATGCCTCTTGCAGGGTGTGGCACAGGGGCATTGCACAGGTCCTCGCATGGGGATGTCGCATGGGGAGTGAGTGGAGAGGAGCAGGACCGCACTCGGAGGCCGGCGGTCTTGGCTCCTTGCTGCCACTCACCCGGCCGTGACCCCGCAGGTCCTGGACTAATGCCAGAGTTGACCATAATGGTGGCCACCGTGCTGATGGTGCTGGGACTTGGCTTCTTTCTCGCCGGCGTCTACCGCTTCAGGGCCAGGCCTCCCGCCCCAGGTGAGTGTCCAGGGAGAGTTGGGGCCGTGGTCAAGGGTGACGAGGACTCTGCTCACTCCTCTTCTCCCCCCACAGGTTACACTCCCCTCCCTGGAGACAACTACCCCGCAGGTAACGGTGTCCCCATTCCCGTCCACATCAGCGAGGGGTGAATCACCCCATCTCTCACCCTTTGTGTCCCCCCCTTCCCCAGGCAGCATCTGAGGACCCCCAGTCAGACACCTCCTGGCACCGGTGGCTCCCGGTTGGCCCCATCTCAGACCCGATGCTGTGGTGCTGACAATAAAGATGCTCCACAAGCCCTGCTGGTGTCTCTGCAGTGTTCTGGGGACAGGGCAGAGGCTCACACACTCCTACGGTGTCTCACCAAGAGGAGCGGGTGTGTGGGGGCCATGGCATGGGACCCCAAAGGGCCAAGCGTGGCCTGGGGTGCCTCAGGCATGGCCCTACTGGCTGACCGAGGGAAGGGATCGTCCCGCTCTGCTCGGCCTGCTGTAGCCTCGCCTCGAGCACTGCGTGCAGCTGTGGGCACCGCAGCAGACGAAGGGCGTGAAACTGTGCGAGAGCCTCCAAGGGAGGGCTACGAGGACAGCAAAGGCTCTGCAGGGCAAGGCGTGTGAGGAGACGGTCTGCTGCAAGACGCCTTCCCAGGCAGCAAGGCCTCAGGACACAAAGCACCCAGGAAATGCCACTGCCAGACTCCATCTTCCTGTACAAAACTTTATTTGACACAGTCCTGCTACTGCTGGGCATTGGGTACATATACTCCAGAGGAGGGAACACAGAGCCCCCACAGGCTGCTCATGCTCAGCACCAGGCACAAAGCAAAGATCAACCCCAACCTAGGAGGCAAAGGTGGCCTGCAATGGCCAGCAGCACACGGTGACCACATCCCTTGCCCTGGGGTCTGCAAGCAGTACAAGCAGAGGGGAGAGGAGCGTGGAGAGCTGCTGCAGCCCCTGTGCTGCCCGCTGGGGCTCAGAGGCAGGGTGAGACCTGCCTCTGCCCGTGAGACTCTGCCCGTGCAGGGCAGAGCCCAGGGGCTGCAAGGGGCCTGGCCCCTGTTTGCAGCATCCCAGCCCTCCTCCAGCAGCAGGGAGGAGCCTGGGGCAGCCCCTGGCCCCATTGCCCCTCATACCTGTTCTGCTCCTGCAGGACCAAGTAGAGGTGATGCAGGAGTGTCTGGAAAAGGGCTGGAGACCCCCAGGGCTGGGGACGAGGTCTGGTGGGTGCTGTCCCTCAGGTACAGCTGAATTCCCGATTTATCCAGCCAGAACCAGGGGCGGATTCTCTCCCCATTGAAGGAGGCTGCTCTGAAAGTGAAGATCTGGACCCCATTGTCAGCGTTGATGAAAGACACGTGCTGCTGGGTACAGTCCAGACAGACCCAGATCCTCGTGGGGATAGGGGACAGGGACAAGGGGGTGGGAGGAGATGTGAGAGACTTGAGCTGCCCCTCATCGCACTGCAGAGCCCAGATCCCTCCTTCAGGGCTCATGTTCATCCACTTCCTTTTCTCCACAGAAGCCCTGGCCACCCCCACAGCCCACCCTGAGTACTTTAGCCACTCTCCCTCCACCTCCACCAACCAGCAGTGCCTCCCCTCTCTGAACTCCTCAAGGCCCAGCACACACCACCGGTTCTCAAATCTCTCTGGTGTGTCAGGAACCTGCTGCCGTCCAATTTCGCATCTCACACTGCTGTTGTCCTGAGACACAACAAGTTCAGGATGAGCCGTGTGTGGGTCCAGGGTCACCTTCACTGCAGGGACAGAAGGAGCCAGGCCATCAGGGGCAGAGCTCAGCCCTGGGCAGGCTTTCCCCAGCTCGGGGCCAGGAGCTGCCCCACGGGGCAGGAGATGGGGCACCTCTTGGCACCTGAACATGCCCCACCAGAGGCAGGAGAAGCACCCCAGCAGGCAACCCAATGCACACCTACCTGTATTTTGAGGCAGCAGAAACTTTCTCCATGCTGGAAGGAGAAGGGAGAGCTGGTCACAGCCCATGGCTGGTGCCCAGTGGGTGTGGGCAGGGTGAGGGGCCAGCCCTGGGCTGCTCTGTCCCAGCTGCCCACCCTCCCCTCACATTGCCTTAGCGTGGCCATGGGGCCCAAGGAATGTGATACTCACCCAGTTCTGCAGCTTGTTTCTCTGAAAAGGAAACTGAAAGTAATATATGATGGGTAAGAAAGTAAAGCCTGAGGGAAGACTTGCTTAGCCCGTAGCTGACCTTATGACATCCCATGAAAGGGTAAAACACTGCCTTGATCAGAGGTGGGACTAAAGAAATAGTCATTGTGGTACAGCTTTGTACAATGCTATTGTAAGCAGAACTTTAAGGACTGACATTTCTGCAGCTTTTATCTTTGTGCCACTTAAGCCATTACAGAAGTGAAGAAAGGATTGCTGGAGAATGCCCGTTTCCCGAAAGCATCAGTGCTGAGTGGGGCAGCCCCACAGCTCGCTCCCCGTCCCCACCTTGATCCCCGTTCCTTTCAGCCATCCCGGCCGTGTCCCGTGCCCAGGGCAGCTCCAGCCCCAGCACTCCCCACTCCCACCCCAGGCTCCAGCTGCTCCTCCAGCACCCCCGAGCCACCAGCACACAAGCCCTCAGAGCCCACCCAGACCAGGCCCTCCCGCAGGGACACCACTTCCCCAGGGGCTGGGGGCAGGGACTGCAAGGACTCTCCCAGCTCTCAGCTCTGTGCCGCTGAAAAGCAAAGGCGAAGGAACAGGTGGTGAGCAGAGCAGCTTTGTTGCTGGGTGGGAACATGTGCAGGGGGGCTGCGCCTTGCCACCAGCCCCACGCTGCAGCCATGCTCCCTGGCCTCCCACCCAAGAGGATCCGAAGGCCTTTGGTATCCCCAGGAGAACATTCCCTTCCTCCTCCTATGCACCTCCCTGGGCCAGGGCTCAGCCCCGCTCCAGACCCAGGGGGGTCCCTGCAGAACACCTCCCTCCACTCCATCCCTGTGCTGCCAGCTTACCTTGCTTTCGAAAGAGATAAACACCGAGGCAAATGGACACAGCCAAAAACACCAGGACCAGGACCAGAACCACTATCAAGGGCTGGGCGTTTATGAAAAAGGGAGCTGAAAAAAGGCAAAAGGAAAAGGGCTGTGTTTACATGGCTGGGGTTAGAAGAGCAAGACCCAGACTTCTCCTGGGTCAGGACAAGTGCAGGGGCCAGGAACACCTCACCCTGGCTGTGCCATTTGTACCTGCAATGTTCAGGGATGATTCCCGTTCCTGCTGGAGGCGGCTTTTCCTGACCACGCAGGACAAGGGCCCCTCCACGCTCCCGGTCATGATGACGGCGCCTTCGATTTCAAAGAGCCCCTCCTGGTCTTGGGAATGTGTCTGGGAGACCGAGGGACAGGTGCTGCCCGCGAGCATCCCTCCACAGCAGCTGCGGCAGCGGGTACCAGCCGGCCGATCGACACAGCACCCGGACGCCTCCGGCCTCGTAGCCTCCCAGGGAGAGGTGGGGGTCAGTGCCTGTGGCTGGGGAAAGAGCACGTGGCTGGGGCTGCGCTTTGGGAGGGATTCATTTCAAGGCAAAGACCCCATCAGCTCCCATGCCAGACACAGCCCAGGGCAGCCATGGTCACAGGGGCTTAGGGACCGGGCACTCCACGGAGCCACTCTCACCCCTAACCCGCACCTATTGTTGGCACAGCTGAAGGACCTGCTCAGAAACCTGTGCCCATTGTCCATACAACAGCATGGGGATGGAGTTCAATGAGGGTCCCTGAGACTGAATTAAATCATTGCATTCATGCAGCTTTCTCTCAATAAAAAGCCTGCAAGGGCACAGGTGTACTTCTTCCTGGACAAGTGGTCACTGACAGAGGAGAAGCCCTCATCACACTGTACTGTTTGCAAGGCCTCGTAGATGGCCATGAATATGGGACCGGGTCCTGGGTGGGACACACAGATCCTGGGGACACCTGCACCATCCCTTGAATGCCTCAACCCAGCCACTAACCTGACACCTCCAGCTCCACAATGGCTTCGTCATAAACATGAGCATCTCTCACAGTGCAGACGTACTGGCCATCATCAGAGGGTCTCAGCCCCGTGATTCGCAAGTGCAGGCTTCCAGCAGAGAGACCATCCCTGGCCAACTCTGTCCTCCCGGCATATGCCCCCATCTGCTCCCTGTACAGGTCCTCTCCATTGCGGTAGTGGTGCACTGTCTCAGAGAACTTGGCCCGGATCCACCTGACCTCCAAGCTGCGAGCATCGCGTTGAGGGGACAAGTGGCAGGGCAGCACGACATCCTGCCCCACGGTGGCAGTGACAGAGTGGCCTGGTCCCACCACTGTGAGCTGGGCTGGGCAATGGAGAAGGGCACAGAGAGGCAGTGAGATTTTGCTATTGTAAATTTAGGTGCAGTGAGTGACAAAGGGCGAGCTGTGTGTGAGTTGGTGCGTGCTGTGTCCCCCGTGTCCCATGGGAAACCACCAGGGAAACAGGAGAGGGAGAGGGAGGACGTGCAGGAGAAGGAGGTGTGCTGGGAGTGGGAGCCCTCTCTGCAGCTTTTGGGCAGGAGAAGAAGAGCCAGAAAGGGCAGTCAAGGCAGCGCCCATATTGTGTGAAAGAACCAAAGGGAAAGTGAAACCCAGCGGGGAACAAGCTCTGGGCTCTGGTCCCCCTACCCTGGAGCCGCTCCCCTGCCCTATTGCAGCACATCTGCATGCACAGGGGGGAGAGCCCCCAGCAACCCTGCAGGATCCTACCTGAGCCCAGCTGGAGAAGGTGCAGAGTGACGAGGGAAGTCAGGAAGCCGCTGGCATGGCCGGTGAGGCTGGGGCGGCCGCAGAACCTGTAGAGCCCCATCTGTGCTGCAGCGGGAGCAGGATCTGGGGGTAGAAGAGTAAGGTACTGAGGGGCTGCAGGCCTGGGCACAGGGAGCCACAGCCAGCACCGCCTTGGGCAGGGTGCAGAGCCTACGCTTATCATGGGCTGGGGGACACAGAAGGCAGCCCCAGGTGTTCTTCTCCAAGGCAGTCTCACCAAAATAGTCGTCCCTCTCAGCACCCACCATAGCTGCAGGAACTAGAAGGCTACACGTGACTTCACCAACTTCTGCTCAGCTCTTGTCTGCGGTAACCCTCTGGGAGGAGCCCTGACCCTTGGGGGATGGGTGCAAGATGCTGCAGAGCAGAGTGACATTGGAGGCTGCAGGGAAAGAGGCACAGCTGGCTGCCGAGCATCTCAGTGCCACCCTTTTCCCAAGGTGGTGCGGGCAATGAGTCAGCCCCACTCCCAGCTCTGCCCATTCAAAGAGGCAGAAATGGGCAGACCTTTTGCCCTCTGGGAAGCAAAGCCCTTCTGCAGCACGGTGGACACTTTAGTGTGGAAATGGATTCCAAGGACCAGAGGGACAGCTTCTGCATGCAGCTAGGATGATGACATGGATGAACTGTTCTTTAAGGAACTATGCGATGCCTCAGAATCTGCTGCCCTAGTCCTTATCAGGGTGAATTCATATGGCTAAAGCTCAATTTGAGTTGAAGCTTGACAGAACTGTTGGGGGAAATAAAACTGAGTTTTATAAAATATCTGAACAGCAAAAGTAGAACCGGAGAAAACAGTGGTCCTTTACTTGATGGGGATGGTCTCCTCAAAAACAGGGGCATGTTTAATGCTTTTTTTGCCTTTGTCTTCAACACTGACAATGGGCTCTGGGACCCCAGTTGCCCTCAGCTGGAGGACCGTGAGAGCAGGAATGATAAACTCCCAGCAAATACTGAATTAGCATGCAATTTGCTCCTACAGGTGGAGACTATAGGGCCTGATGGGATTCATCCCAGAGTACCAAGAAAACTGGCTGATGTCATCATGAAATCCTGTCCTGGTTTCAATTAGGATAGAGTTAATTTTCCTCCTTGTAGCTGGTAGAATGCTATGTTTTGGCTTAGGATGAGCAGAGTGCTGATAACATGCTGATGTTTCAATTATTGCAGAGCAGTGCTTACACCAAGCCAAGGACTTTTCAGCTTCTTGCTCTGTCCTGCCAGCGGGCAGGCTGGGGGACCTATAAATATCCCCAGTGCAGTATAGCCCTGCAAGAGAATTCAGTCTACATTAGCCCATCTCAGGACTCACCTGGGGACAACCCCCTTATCCCTGCTGTGACTGCGGGGAAGCCTTCTCTGAAAGCTCGGCGTTCAACCAACATTGGAAAAAGCACTTGGTAGGGAAACCCCATCAGTGCCCTGACTGCGGGATGGGCTTCACTGTTCCCTCAGCCCTCCTCCTCCACCAGAAAAGCCATGTGGAGCCTAACTTTTACTGTTCTTCCCAAACAACCCTCTGAAGATTACATCTGTGAATTGAGGAGGACCAGGCATGCAGCTGGTGGTCATGGTACAGCTTCAAGTAGCACTTAGAGAACGTGGTGGTCAGTCAGTCCCTGGCCCTGGGATGGCTTTGGGGATGGTGGGAGCCCAGTGGGATGTAGGATAATTGGCTGAGAGGATGGTAGGACTGCAGTGGGTGGAGGGTTTTGAGGTTTGGGGTTGGTGAGAGCCCAGTGGAATGGAGGATGATGGGGTTTTGGAGATGCTGAGACCCCACTGGGGTGAAGGTGGATGGGGTTTGTGGTGGTGGATCCCCACTGGAGTGGAGGACAATGGGGTTTTGTGATGGTGGGACCCTGCTGGGATTAAAGAGGATGGGGTGTGAGGATGGTGGGATCTCAATGGGATGAAGGATGATGGGATTTTGGGATGGTGAGACCCCACGTGCATGAAACGATGTGTGGTGGATGTGGAGACCACTCAGCTTGGCATTGAGAACCAGCTGGAGGAGAGCATCTGTGTCTCCTCATTGTGTAGCTGGGTTCAAAACCTATTCTTAGCTTCCCACCTTCATATAGTTAAACCTTCGAAGAGGCCAAGGGAGTCCTGCAGCCACGGAGGCTCCATCTCACTGAGGTTTCAGTCCTGTTTGGATCACCTGCTTTTATCGGATGCAGCTGTCTTCCGAACTGCATTTCCTTCCCCTGTTTCTGCACTGTGTCTGCTCCTGATTTTAATGCTGCGATGTTTAAAACACACCACAATGAATTTGGCTCGAGAATGTCAGCTTGTTTCCCTGCTTGCTTTAAACAAGGTGCAAAAAGTGGCACTGGTTTTCTGGGAGTGCAGGATTGTTACTGATTGCTGACGGGTTGGTGAAGCTGGGGTGGCCCCATGGCTCCTGCAAGCCCATTTCTGGCTGAACCCTGCCCTGAGCAGTGGAAAATAAAACAGCCACGGGAACACCTTGGGTGGTAGAAGAGGAAATATGGGACATGGAGATGGCATGAAAGGACCTGATGGACAGCTTTAAGGTTGACGCCACCTGCTGCCTCTGCTAGGAGGACTTCAAAAAGCTGGTGATGCCCCCCCTGCAGGCAGAACCTCAACCAAGCCTGTGTGATGGGAGGATGGAAGCTCTTGGGGATCGACTTGTGCCAGCTGGGTCATTACCCTGTCTAGCTAAGGGCAGGGTAATGACCCAGCTGGGACAAGGGGGTGCCAGGGAACAGATGGAGAACCAAGAGGCAGTTGGCGCTTTGGTTCCTCCTGGCTCTGACTCCCAGGACCAACACCAAGGAGAGGTCTGCTGCAAGACGCCTTCCCAGGCAGCAAGGCCTCAGGATAGAAAGCAACCAAGAAATGCCACTGCCAGACTCCATCTTCCTGTACAAAACTTTATTTGACACAGTCCTGTTGCTGCTGGGCCTTGATGTGCTCCAGAGGAGGGAACAAAGAGCCTGCACAGGCTGCTCATGCTCAGCACCAGGCACAGAGCAAGGATCAACCCCAACCTAGGAGGCAAAGGTGGCCTGCAATGGCTGTCAGCACACAGTGACCACATCCCTTGCCCTGGGGTCTGCAAGCAGTGCAAGCAGAAGGGAGAGGAGCGTGGAGAGCTGCTGCAGCCCCTGTGCTGCCCGCTGGGCTCAGAGGCAGGGTAAGACCCGTGGGTGCCAGCAGGGCTTGTGCCCCAGCACAGGAGCCGCGTGCAGGGCAGAGCCCAGGGGCTGCAAGGGGCCTGGCCCCTGTTTGCAGCATCCCAGCCCTCCTCCAGCAGCAGGGAGGAGTGCGGGGCAGCCCCCGGCCACACTGCCCCTCATTCCTGTGCTGCTCCTGCAGGATGAAGGAGAGGTGATTGCAGGAGTGTCTGGAGAAGGGCAGGAGTTCCCCTAGGGCTGGGGCTGGGATCTACAGGGTGCTGTCCCTCAGGCACAGCTGAACTCCCTCGGTCTCCACCAAGAACCAGGGGCGGATGCTCTCCCCATTGAAAGAGGCTTCTGTGAAAGTGAAGATCTCGACCCCATTGTCAGCATTGACAAAAGACACTTGCCCCTGGGTACAGTCCAGACAGACCCAGATCCTTGTGGGGACAGGGGACAGGGACAAGGGAGTGGGAGGAGATGTGAGAGACTTGAGTTGTCCATGAAAGTGCTCCACAGCCCAGATCCCTTCTTCAGTGCTTGTGTCTATCCACTTCTTCCTCTCCACAGATGCCCTGGCTACCCCTAGAGCCCACCAAGAATACTTCAACCACTCTCCCTCCATCTCCACCTGCCAGCAATGTCTCCCCTCTCTGTACTCCTCACGGCCCAGCACGCAGCATCTCTCGCCAAATCTCTCCGGTGTTTCAGACACCTGCTGCAATTCATTTTCGCATCTCACACTGCTGTTGTCCTGAGACACAACAAGGTTGGGATGAGCCGTGTGTGGATCCAGGGTCACCTTCACTGCAGGGACAGATGGAGCCAGGCCATCAGGGGCAGAGCTCAGCCCTGGGCAGGCTTTCCCCAGCTCGGGGCCAGGAGCTGCCCCACGGGGCAGGAGATGGGGCACCTCTTGGCTCCTGAACATGCCCCAGCAGGGGCAGAAGAAGCACCTCAGAGGGCAACCCAATGCACACCTACCTGTATTGTGAGGCAGCAGAAACTTTCTCCATGCTGGAAGGAGAGGGGAGAGCTGATCACAGCCCACAACTGGTGCCCAGTGGGTGTGGGCAGGGTGAGAGGCCAGCCCTGGGCTGCTCTGTCTCAGCTGCCCACCCTCCCCTGCATATCGCCTTGGTGTTGCCCTTGGGCCTGAGCACGAAGACACTTACCCAGCTCTGCAGCTTGTTCATCTACAAACAAAAGAAAAAAGCAATGCATCGATGAGAGGAGTCTACTTCTGATCAATGACTGCTACAAACCGAAGACCCCAAATTCCTAGAGTTGTGGGGGGAAGAGAGACTCACCCAGTCTTGCAACTTTTTCCTCTGGAAAAGAAAAGCATAAGGAATATATGATCAGAGGGAAAAACTTCTCATCCATTGTCTACACTTCAAATTCCTCCAGTTCAGGGATGGACACTCACCTATCTCTGCAGCTTGTTCCACTGGAAAAGAAAAATAAAAGCAATGTGCTGTCAGACGGGAGTATGCCCATGGTAAGACACCAAATAACTTCTCTTTGGGGAAGGAGACTTACCCAGCTTTGCATCCTTTTTCGCTGCTATAAAAAGCAAAAGGAATGAATGGTCAGAGTGGAGAGACTTTCAATCCAATGCTGCTTCCATGGCTAGATGGCTAGACCCCAAATTTTTTGCTCTCATGCATGGGCACAGACCACCTTGCTCCCAGACTTGTAGCAACCCCACTAACAAAGACCTAGGCCCAGCATTTTGCAAGACTTCTAGCTTGAAGAACAGACACTTGTGCAGCTCTCTGCACCGTCCCACCAAAACACAAGGGGAAGTGAATGGGGACGGGTGGAGGACGTCCCTGTCCCAGAAGCATCAGTACAGAGCGGGGCAGCCCCGCAGCTTGCTCCCCATCCCCACCTTGATCCCCGTTCCTTTCAGGCATCCCGGCCATGTCCCGTGCCCAGGGAAGCCCCAGCCCCAGCACTCCCCACTCCCACCCCAGGCTCCAGCTGCTCCTCCAGCACCCCCGAGCCACCAGCACACAAGCCCCCAGAGCCCACCCAGCCTAGGCCTTCCTGCAGGGACACCACTTCCCCAGGGTTTGGGGGCAGGGACTGCAAGGATTCACCGAGCTCTCGCCTCTGTGCCGCTGAAAAGCAAAGGCGAAGGAACAGGTGGTGAGCAGAGCAGCTTGGTTGCTGGGTGGGAACATGTGCAGGGGGGCTGCGCCTTGCCACCAGCCCCACGCTGCAGCCATGCTCCCTGGCCTCCCACCCAAGACGATCCTAAGGCCTTTGGCATCCCCAGGAGAACATTCCCTTCCTCCTCCTACACACCTCCCTGGGCCAGGGCTCAGCCCCGCTCCAGACCCAGGGGTGTCCCTGCAGAACACCTTCCCTCCGCTCCATCCCTGTGCTGCCAGCTTACCTTGCTTTCGAAAGAGATAAACACCAAGGCCAATGGACACAGCCAAAAGCACGAGGACCAGAGCCAGAGCCACCATCCAGGGCTGGGCATTGTGGAAGAAGGGAGCTGAGAAAAGGCACCAGGAAAAGGGCTGCGTTTCCATGCCCGTGGGTGGAAGAGCAAGACCCAGACTTCTCCTGGGTCGGGACAAGTGCAGGGGCCAGGAACACCTCACCCTGGCTGTGCCATTTGTACCTGCAATGTGCAGGGAAAATTCCCATTCCTGCTGCAGGCGGCTGCTCCTGACCACGCAGGACAAGGGCCCCTCCACGCTCCCGGTCATGATGACGGCACCTTCGATTTCAAAGAGCCCCTCCTGGTCCTGGGAATGTGTCTGGGAGACTGAGGGACAGGTGCTGCCCGCGAGCATCCCTCCACAGCAGCTGCGGCAGTGGGTACCAGCCGGCCGATCGACACAGCACCCGGACGCCTGCCGGCCTCGTAGCCCCCCAGGGAGAGGTGAGGGTCAGCGTCCTGTGGCTGGGGAAAGAGCCCGTGGCTGGGGCTTGACTTGGGGAGGGATTCATTTCAAGGCAAAGACCCCATCTGCTCTCATGCCAGACACAGCCAAGGAGAACCACGGCCCCAGGGGCTTAGGGACCAGGCACTCCACGCACTCACCCTCACCCCAAAACCACCCTTGTAGGTTCTGGACCCAGAGAGCAGGGCTGCACAATGCCACTGTCCCCAAATAACATGGAAAACCCAGGTGTTGAGCTTCAGCCCCTCCAGGCAGCGTCTCTGCATCAAGTCGTGCTGGGTCAAGAAGCCTCGAGACTTCCTGACAACATGTCAGGTTTCTCCCAACACAAAAAGGAAAAGTAAAGCAGATGTCCAGACGCTCAGAGGACTCTGCAACTCTCCCTGTGTGCTGTTTGGTCCCATTGCTGACACAGCTGAAGGTGCTGCTCAGCAGCCTGTGCCCAGTGCACTCACCATATTATGATTTCTTTCTTCAAAGATAATCAGTGAAAACTGAAAAAAGTATCCAGGGTCTCTCCCCAGATATTACCTCCACATCCATGGGCATGTTCCATACTGTGAAGAAGCTGAAACATTCAAAGGACACGTAAACTCTGCCCAGGAACCATCACCCCAGCCACTAACCTGACACCTCCAGCTCCACAATGGTTTCAGCATAAGCATCAGCATCTTCCACAGTGCAGATGTACCGGCCATCATCAGAGGGTCTCAGCCCCGTGATTCGCAAGTCCAGGCTTCCAGCAGAGAGACCATCTCTGGACAACTCTGTCCTCCCAGCATATTCCCCCATCTGCTCCCCATACAGGTCCTCTCCATGGCGGTAGTGGTGCACTGTCTCAGAGAATTTGTCCCAAATCCACCTGACATCCAAGCTGTGAGCATCGCGTTGAGGAGACAAGTGGCAGGGCAGCACGACATCCTGCCCCACGGCGGCAGTGACAGGGTGGCCTGGTCCCTCCACTCTGAGCTGGGCTGGACAATGGAGAAGGACACAGAGAAGAGGTGAGATTTTGCCATTGTAAATTTAGGGTTAGTGAGTGTCAAAGGGCGAGCTGTGTGTGAGTTGGTGCGTGCTGCGTCCCCCGTGTCCCATGGGAAACCACCGGGGAAACAGGAGAGGGAGAGGGAGGATGTGCAGGAGAAGAAGGTGTGCTGGGAGTGGGAGCCTTCTCTGCAGCATTCGGGCAGGTGAAGAAGAGCCAGAAAGGGAGCCAAGACAGCAGCCGTATTGTGTGGAAGAACAAAAGTGAAAGTGAAACCCAGCTGGGGCTGAGCTGTGGGATCCGTTCCCCCATATCCCATGTCCACTCCCTGCCTTATGGCAGCCTGTTTGCCAGGCCCAGGGGGAAGAGCCCACAGCAGCCCCACAGGATCCTACCTGAGCCCAGCCGGATAAGAAACAGAATGACGAGAGAAGTCAGGAGATCCCTGGCATGTCTGGTGAGACTGGGGTGGCCACAGCCCCAGGAGAGCCTCATCTGAGAGAGAGATTCCCCAGGGGGCAGGTGGCCCCCCAGGGGTTCTTCCTGAAGGGAGCCCCACTAAGATAGATGTCCCTCACGGCACCCAGCAGAGCTGCAGAAAGCACAAGGCTACGCCCAACTTTCCCAACCTTTGCCCAGTTCCTGGCTGCAATAACCCTCCTGGAACAGCTCTGCCCCTGGGGCAATGTCTGGGGAGCTCTGCAGGGCTGGCACCACCATCCCATTGCAGCTGGGTGCCCAGTCCACTGCCTTTAGAAAGCATGAGGTGCTTGACCCCAGTGGGGGCCTCTCCAGACCTCCAGGGAAAGCCAGTGGCTAAGGTCGTTCATCTCCATGCATGCAAGGAGGAATCAAACTGTGAGCAATGGGAAAATGTGGAGAGATGGCAGTGAAGAGCTGAGCATGATCGGAGGCTGCAGGGAATGGGGCACAGCAGGGTGTTGAGCCCAGAGCTGCCACCTTTGCCCAGGGTGCTGAAGGCAAAGTGCCAGCCCTGATCCCGGCTCCAGTAAAGCAGCTGTGGTAGAAGGTTGGCTCAGAGGGGCAGGGACCTTCTTCTAGAGCTTAGGTGGATAAGGAAAGTTCCTGTTTGTTGGAGGCGAGATCAGTCAATATGGAAGGAGTACAGAGGTACTGTTTGCCTTTGTAGGGTGAAAATACATATGGCCAAAGCTCAATTTGAGTTGAAGCTGGACAGTACTGTGAGGGGCAATAAAATGCTTTTTTTTTATTATTATTATTTTTTTTTTATTTAAACTCTCTTAAAAGTGAAAGTAGGATGAGAGAAAGCATTGGTCTGTTACTTGATGGCGATGGTCAGACAGGGTCATCGACTTCACAGAGATGTTTAATGCTTTCTTTGCCCTTAAGACTGATGCTGGGCTGTGGATCCCCAGGTGCCCTGAGCTGGAGAACAGTGACTGCAGGAACGATAAAGTCTCAACAACCCCGAATTTGTGTGGGATTTGCTGCTACAGATGGATACATACGAGACTATAGGGCCTGATGGGATTAATCCCAGAGTACTAAGAGAACTGGCTGAAGGCATACGTCTTCCCCTCTAGGCCCTTCACCATCTCTGTGGCTCTTCTCTGGACACTCTCCAATAGTTTCATGTCCTTCTTGTGCTGTGGTGCCCAGAACTGCACAGAGTCCTCGAGGTGAGGCTGCACCAGTGCAGAGTAGAGCGGGACAATCACTTCCCTCATCTGACTAGTAATACCATGCTCGATGCATCCCAGGATATGGTTGGCCCTCCTGGCTGCCAGGGCACACTGCTGGCTCATGTTCATCTTGCTGTCAACCACAACCCCCAGATCCCTCTCTGTGGGGCTGCTCTCCAGCATCACATCCCCCAGTCTCCACGTATAGCCAGGGTTCCCCCATCCCAGGTGCAGGACCCAGCACTTGCTCTTGTTAAACTTTATGCAGTTGGTGATTGCCCAACTCTCCAGTCTATCCAGATCTCTCTGCAAGGCCTTTCCACCTCAACAGAGTCCTCCCATGGGATGCCATCCTTCATGAGCTGATCCTACATGAGCTTCCCACAGCCCTGCAATACCTGCTCCAGTAAGAGTCCATACCACAGGGTCCTTCAGTCAGGAGCAAACTGTTCCAACCTGGTTCCCCCACAGTCAGCAGTTCCCCTCAGACCCTCTGCTCCTGCGTGGGTTCCTCTCCAGGGGCTGCAGATCTGGCCCAGTGCCTGCTCCACCGGGGGCTCCTCCATGAGATGCAGCATGGAGATCTGCTCCATGTGAGACCCATGGGCTGCAAGGGGACAGCCTGCTCCACCAGGGGCCTCTCCACAGGCCGCAGGAGAACTGCTGCTGTGTGCCTGGAGCACCTCCTGCCCTCCTGCTGCACTCACCTTGGGGGCTGCAGGGCTGGTTCTCACTCCTCACTCTCCCAGCTGCTGTTGTGCAGAAGTTTTTTCCACATTTCTTAACTATGCCCTCACAGAGGCACAAATAACATTGCTTAGTGGCTCAGCTCTGGGCAGCAACGTGTCCCTTTGGAGCCAGCTGAAATGGGCCCTCATCTAACATGGGGCAGCTTCTGGATTCCCCTCAGAGAGGCCACCCTGCAGCCCCCTGCTACCAAAACCTTGCCACGTAAACCCACTACATCATGAAATCTCTATAATTTAGTTTTAAGTATACTGAGGAATATGGAGAGGTCCCGGTGACTGGAAGCTGCCAAACGTTGCCCCGGTTTCCAGAAAGGGCAGCAAATTAGACCCTGGGAATTACAGGCTTGTCAGTCTCATGGCAGTGCCTGGTAAAGTTACAGAGATTGCTCTGGGAGTGAGTGAAAAACACCTAAGGGACAATGTGGTCACTGGTCATAGGACACATGGGTTCATGGGTGGAAGCTCATGTTCAACAAACCTCATTTCCTTTTTTTTGGATAAGGTCAGTCTCCCATTTGACTGAGGGAGCCAGTTGAAGTGATCTTTTGGATTTCAGGAAAGATTATGACATGGTTTCTGACCGTATCCATCTGGACCAAACGTCCATCACAGAGCCAGAGAAATGCACAATACGATGGGTGAACAATTGGCTGAGGGGTCAGGCTCTGAGGGTTCTGGTAAATGGGGCAATCTCAGGCTGGTGGCCAGTCATGAGTAGGGCTGTGCAGGGCTCCATTTTGGGGCCAGGTCTCATCAGTGGCCCCATAAATTAACTGGATGTAGGATGGGAAGGAAACCTGTGTGAGTTTGTGGCTGACACGGAACAGAGAGGAGCTGCTGACTCCGTCGAAGGTGAAGAGGCCTTGCAGAGGGATCTGGCCAAAGGGGAGAGCTGGGCAGCCACCGCCTGTGGGAAGTTTAACAAGAGCAAGTGCCGGCCGTGTCCCTGGGCAGGAGCAGCCCTGGCAGTACGGACAGCGTGGGGGGCGAGAGGCTGGAGAGCAGCCCCCAGAACAGGAGCTGGGGCGTTGTGGCCGATGGCTAGTTGGATGTGAGCCAGCAGCGGGCCCTGGCAGCCCAAAGGGCCAAGCGTGCCCTGGGGTGCCTCAGGCACGGCACTGCTGGCCGGCCGAGGGAAGAGATCGTCCCACTCTGCAAGGCCTGCTGCGGCCTTGCCTCGAGCACTGCGTGCATCTGTGACCACCGCAGCAGACGAAGGGCGTGAAACTGTGCGAGAGCCTCCAAGGTGGGCTACGAGGACGGCGAAGGCTCTGCAGGGCAAGGCGTGTGAGGAGCGGCTGAAGGCGCTTGGCTTGTTGAGCCCAGAACAGAGGAGATGCAGGGGAGGCCTTGCGGCGGCCCATGGCTTCCTGATGAGGGGAGCGGAGGGGCAGGCGCTGGTCTCTGCTCTCTGGGGCCAGTGACAGAGCCAGAGAAAATGGCATGGAGCTGCTTCAGGGGAGGCTCAGGCCAGCTGTTCAGAAACTATTTATTTCCTGAGAGGGTGCTCAGGCGCTGGAACAGGCTCTCAAGGGATGTAGCCATATCCCTGAGCCTGCTGCAGCTGAAGCAGTGTTTGCAGAAGGCTGTTTGAGAGAGGGTCTGATTTTGGGGTTGGCCGCTGTGGAGTCTCAAGATGGACTTGATGGTCTCATTGGGTCCCTACCAACTCGGGCTATTCTGTCATTCTGTGATCTTGGGCTTTAGGCTGAGGAGACCTGCTCCCTCTGCTTGAAGGACTTCCAAGAGATGCCCCAGTGTGGGGAAAGCCTCAACAGAGCCTGTGTGATGGGAGGCTGCAAGCCCTTTGGTTGTCCCCCTTGGGCAGTACAATGACCCAGATGGGACAAGGGGGTCCCAGGCTCCAGCTGGAGAAATGGGAGCTCCTGGAGTTTAGGTTCCTCCTGGCTCTGACTCCCAGGACCAACACCAAGGAGAGGTCTGCTACAAGATGCCTTCCCAGGCAGCAAAGCCTCAGAACACAAAGCACCCAAGAAATGCCACTGCCAGACTCCATCTTCCTGTGCAAAACTTTATTTGACACAGTCCTGCTGCTGCTGGGCCTTGATGTGATCCAGAGGAAGGAACAAAGAGCCCCCACAGGCTGCTCATGCTCAGCACCAGGCACAGAGAACAGATCAATCCCGAACTAGGAGGCAAAGGTGGCCTGCAATGGCCGGCAGCACACAGTGACCACATCCCTTGCCTTGGGGTCTGCAAGCAGTGCAAGCAGAGGGGAGAGGAGCGTGGAGAGCTGCTGCAGCCCCTGTGCTGCCCGCTGGGGCTCAGAGGCAGGGTGAGACCCGTGCGTGCCAGCAGGGCTTGTGCCCCAGCACAGGAGCCGCGTGCAGGGCAGAGCCCAGGGGCTGCAAGGGGTCTGTCCCCTGCTTGCAGCATCCCAGCCCTCCTCCAGCAGCAGGGAGGAACATGGGGCAGCCCCTGGCCCCACTGCCCCTCATTCCTGTGCTGGTCCTGCAGGACCAAGGAGGGGTGATGCAGGAGTGTCTGGAGAAGGGCAGGAGGTCCTCAGGGCTGGGAACAGGGTTTACAGGGTTCTGTCCCTCAGGCACAGCTGAACTCCCCGTTTCTGCATCATGAACCAGGGGCGGATGCTCTCCCCATTGAAGGAGGCTGCTGTGAAAGTGAAGATCTCGACCCCATTGTCAGCGTTGATGAAAGACACCTGCCCCTGGGTACAGTCCAGACAGACCCAGATCCTCGTGGGGACAGGGGACAGGGACAAGTAAGTGGGAGGAGATGTGAGAGACTTGAGATGTTCATAATAGTACTCCACAGCCCAGATCCCTGCTGTAGGGCTCATGTTGATCTTCCCCTTCCTCTCCACAGAAGCCCTGGCCACCCCCACAGCCCACCAAGAATTCTTTAGCTGATCCCCCTCCACCTCCACCAACCAGCAGTGCCTCCCCTCTCTGAACTCCTCACGGCCCAGCATGCATAAACTCTCCTGAAATCTCTCTGGTGTGTCAGGAACCTGAAGTGGTATTTCTTCCCATCTCACACTGCTGTTGTCCTGAGACAGGACAAACTGGGGATGAGCCGTGTCCGGATCCAGGGTCACCTTCACTGCAGGGAGAGAAGGAGCCAGGCCATCAGGGGCAGAGCTCAGCCCTGGGCAGACTTTCCCCAGCTCGGGGCCAGGAGCTGCCCCACGGGGCAGGAGATGGGGCACCTCTTAGCTCCTGAACATGCCCCAGCAAGGGAAGGAGAAGCACCTCAGAGGGCAACTCAGTGCACACCTACCTCTATTTTGAGGCAGCAGACACCTTCTCCATGCTGGAAGGAGAGGGGAGAGCTGGTCACAGCCCATGGCTGGTGCCCAGTGTTTGTGGGCAGGGTGAGGGGCCAGCACTGGGCTGCTCTGTCCCAGCTGCCCACCCTCCCCTGCACATTGCCTTGGAGATGTCATGCAGCCCGAGCTCTGTGACACTCACCCAGCTCTGCAGCTTGTTCCGCTGGAAAAGGAAGAGAAACGCAAGGCATGATGAGAGGGGAGTTGCTCAGCCCATGGCTGCTGCCATGGAAAGGTGCCAAGTCTTTGGGTTATTTAAGGTAGTCTTACCCATAGTTGCATCTTTTCTCACTGGAAAAGGAAAGCAAAAGCAATGCATGATCAGAAAGGAGTGCTTCAAATTCCATGACTTATTCCATGGCTAGACCCCAAAGTACTTTGACCTAGTGAATGGGCACAGACAGTCTTGCTCTCGGACTGGGAGGGACCAGACTAACAGGGAGCAAGACCCAACTTTGAGCAAGGCTTGTGCACGTGGAGCAGTAAGGACAGACACTTGTGCAGCTCTCTGCACCGTGCCACCAAAACACAAGTGGAACTGAATGGGGACGGGTGGAGGACGTCCGTGTCCCAGAAGCGTCAGTGCAGAATGGGGCAGACCCGCAGCTTCCTCCCCATCCCCACCTTGATCCCTGTTCTTTTCAGCCATCCCGGCTGTGTCCCGTGCCCAGGGCACCCCCAGCCCCAGCACTCCCCACTCTCCTGTCAGGGTGAGTGCCCAGCCCTGGGCTGCTCTGTCCCAGCTGCCCACCCTCCCCTGCACATCGCCTTGGTGTTGCCTTGGGGCTCAAGGACGGGGACACTCACCCAGCTCTGCAGCTTGTTTCTCTGAAAAGAAAAAAGAAAATCAATGTGTGACCAGAAGGAAGAGCTTCTCAGCCCATGGCTAGACTTTGAATACATCTCATGAGTGGGAAATGACCAACTTGCACCCAGATTGTGAGAGACCTGATTAAGTCAGCCAGAACCAGCTTTGAGCAAGGCTCGTGCACGTGGAGCATTAAGGACAGACACTTGTGCATCTCTCAGCACCGTGCCACCAAAACGCAAGTGGAAGTGAATGGGGACGGGTGGGGTACGTCCCTGTCCAGAAGCGTCAGTGCAGAGTGGGGCAGCCCCATAGCTTGCACGTGGGTGCAGAGTGGTGGGTGTGGGCAGGGTGAGGGGCCAGCGCTGGGCTGCTCTGTCCCAGCTGGCCACCTTCCACTGCACATCGCCTTGGAGATGTCAGAGCCCAAGCTCTGTGAAACTCACCCAGCTCTGCAGCTTTTTCCGCTGGAAAAGGAAGAGAAAAGCAAGGCATGAGAGAGGGGGAGCTGCTCAGCCCATGGCTGCTGCCATGGAAAGGTGCCAACTCTTTGGGTTTATTAAGGCAGTCTTACCGATCACTGCATCTTTTCTCACTGGAAAAGGAAAGAAAAGCAATGCATGATCAGAGAGGAGTGCTTCAAATTCCATGACTAATTACATGGCTACACCCCAAAGTTCTTTGACCTGGTGAATGGGCACAGACAGTCTTGCTCTCGGACTGGGAGGGACCAGACTAACAGGGAGCAAGACCCAGATTTGAGCAAGGCTTGTGCACGTGGAGCAGTAAGGACAAACACTTGTGCAGCTCTCTGCACCGTGCCACCAAAATGCAAGTGGAAGTGAATGGGGATGGGTAGAGGACGTTCCTGTCCCAGAAGTGTCAGTGCAGAGTGGGGCAGCCCCTCAGCTCGCTCCCCATCCCCACCTTGATTCCCGTTCCTTTCAGCCATCCCAGCTGTGTCCCGTGCCCAGGGCACCCCCAGCTCCAGCACTCCCCGCTCCCCTCTCAGGGTGAGGGGCCAGCCCTGGGCTGCTCTGTCCCAGCTGCCCACCCTCCCCTGCACATCACTTTGGTGTTTCCCTGGGACGCAAGTACGGGGACACTCACCCAGCTCTGCAGCTTGTTCCTCTGAAAAGGAAAGAAAGTAATGCATGATCAGAGGGGAGTGTTGCTCAGCCCATGGCAGATCGTGAACATATCCCATGACTGGCAAAATACTGCCTTGCTCCGAGGTGAGACCAAGCAAATAGCCATTGTGGCCCAGCTTTGTTTAATGGTCTTATAGGTGGAACCGTAAGGACAGACACTTGTGCAGCTCTCTGCACCGTGGCCAAGCTCAGGGACACGTGGCCAAGCTCAGGGACAAGCTTCATGGTCTGAACTTTTGGGTAGACCTGTGCGGTGTCAAGAGTTGGACTTGATGATCCTTAAGGGTCCCTTCCAACTCAGGATATTCTATGATTCTATGATTCTATGACACTTACCCACTTTGGCAGCCAATTCCGCTGGAAAAGAAAGAGAAAGCAGTGCATGAGGAGGAAGGAGAGATTCTCACCAAATGGCTGCTGCAAAGCAAAGGACGTCAATTCCTTCAGATTAGGTGGGAGACTCACCCAGTCTTGCATCTTTTTCCACTGGGAAAGAAAAGCATAAGGAATCCATGATCAGAGGGAAAAATGATCATCCCATGTCTGGACCCCAAATTCTTTGAGTTTGGGGATGGAGACTCACCGATTTCTGCAGGTTGTTCCTCTGTAAAAGAAAAAGAAAGAGAAAAGTAATGCATGTTCATAGGGGCAGCTTCTTATCCCATGGCTACTCCTCTGGGAAGACACCAAATGCTTTCTCTTTGGGGAAGGAGACTTACCCAGCTTTGCAACTCTGTTCACTGAAAAAGGAAAACGAAAGCATGAGTGATCAGAGGTTACAGCTTTTCATCTCAGGGCTGATCCCATTTGAAGACCACAAAGGGTTTAAAGTGGGAAATGACCAACTTCCACTCAGGCTGGGAGGGACCAGTCTAACAGGGAGCAAGACCCAGCTTTGAGGAAGGCTTTTGCACATGGAGCAGTAAGGACAGACACTTGTGCAGCTCTCTGCACCATGCCACCAAAAGACAATGGGAAGTGATTGCACATGGGTGGAGGACGTCCCTGTCCCAGAAGCGTCAGTGCAGAGCAGGGCAGCCCCGCAACTCGCTCCCCATCCCCACCTTGATCCCCGTTCCTTTCAGCCATCCTGGCCGTGCCCCATGCCCAGGGCATCCCCAGCCCCAGCACTCCCCACTCCCACACCAGGCTCCAGCTGCTCCTCCAGCACCCCCTGAGCCACCAGCACACAAGCCCCCAGAGCCCACCCAGACCAGGCCCTCCCGCACAGACACCACTTCCCCAGGGACTGCAAGGACTCACCCAGCTCTCGCCTCTGTGCCGCTGAAAAGCAAAGGCGGAGGAAGAGGTGGTGAGCAGAGCAGCTTGGTTGCTGGGTGGGAACATGTGCAGGGGGGCTGCGCGTTGCCACCAGCCCCACGCTGCAGCCATGCTCCCTGGCCTCCCATCCAAGATGATCCTAAGGCCTTTGGCATCCCCAGGAGAACATTCCCTTCCTCCTCCTACGCACCTCCCTGGGACAGGGCTCAGCCCTGCTCCACACGCACGCAGGTCCCTGCAGAACACCTCCCTGCGCTCCATCCCTGCGCTGCCAGCTTACCTTGCTTTTGAAAGAGATAAACACCGAGGCCAATGGACACAGCCAAAAGCACGAGGACCAGAGCCAGAGCCACTATGAAGGGCTGGGCGTTGTGGAAGAAGGGAGCTGAGAAAAGGCACCAGGAAAAGGGCTGCGTTTATATGGCTGTGGTTAAAAGAGCAAGACCCAGACTTCTCCTGGGTTGGGACAAGTGCAGGGGCCAGGAACACTTCACCCTGGCTGTGCCATTTGTACCTGCGATGTGCAGGGATGATTCCTGCTCCTGCTGGAGGCGGCTGCTCCTGACCACGCAGGACAAGGGCCCCTCCACGCTCCCGGTCATGATGACGGCACCTTCGATTTCAAAGAGCCCCTCCTGGTCCTGGGAATGCGTCTGGGAGACCGAGGACAGGTGCTGCCCGCGAGCATCCCTCCACAGCAGTTGCGGCAGCGGGTACCAGCCGGCCGATCGACACAGCACCCGGACGCCTCCGGCCTCGTAGCCCCCCAGGGAGAGGTGGGGGTCAGCGCCTGTGGCTGGGGAAAGAGCGTGTGTCTGGGGCTTGACTTGGGGAGGGATTCATTTCAAGGCAAAGACCCCATCTGCTCCCAAGCCAGATACAGCCCACCACAGGAACGGCAAGGGGCTCAGGGATGAGGCACTCCGCATACTCATGCTCACCCCAAAACCATCCTGCTAGGTTCCGGACCCAGAGAGCAGATCTGCACAAAGCCTCTGAACACAAATTGCCTACAAAGCCTAGGTGCTCACTCCAGCGTGTCCAGCCAGCATTGCTGCACCAAGCTGTGCTCGTTCAAGGAGCCCCAAGACTTCCTGACAACGTCTCAGGTCTCCCCCAGCACAGAAAGCAAAAGTAAAGCAGACATCCGGCTGCTCAGAGGACTCTGCGATTCTCCCTGTGTGCTGTTTGGTCCCATTGCTGACACAGCTGAAGGTGCTGCGCAGCAGCCTGTGACCAGTGCCCTCACAATATTATGATTATTGTCTTCAAAGATACCAGTGAAAACTGACAAAAGTCTCCAGGGAGCTCTCTCCCCAAATATTACCTCCACATCTATGGGCATGCTCCATGCAGTGAAACAGCTCAAGTATTCAAAGGGCATGTAAAGTCTGCCCTGGCAACATCGCCCCAACCACTAACCTGACACCTCCAGCTCCACAATGACTTCCTTGTAAGCATGAGCTTCTTCCACAGTGCAGGTGTACTGGCCATCATCAGAGGGTCTCAGCCCCATGATTCGCAAGTCCAGGCTTCCAGCAGAGAGACCATCCCTGACCAACTCTGTCCTCCCGGCATATGCCTCCATCTGCTCCCCGTACAGGTCCTCGCCATTGCAATAGTGGTGCACTGTCTCAGAGAACTCATCCCGGATCCATCTGACGTCCAAGCTGCGAGCATCGCGTTGAGGAGACAAGTGGCAGGGCAGCACGACATCCTGCCCCACGGTGGCAGTGAGAGGGTGTCCTGGTCCCACCACTCTGAGCTGGGCTGGTGTGAGAAGCAATGTTGTGTTTTTGCAGTAGAGAATTATTTTTCTGTATTCCAAGGTAATTTTGTTGCCAGAATAAAGAGAAATGCTAGGTAGATAAGTGGACCGTAGAAGTCCTCACTGTTCCAAAATAAGGTAGAAGCTTGAGAAAAACAGGATGAGCAGTGTGACAACAGGAAAACAAAGATCAGAAGTTCTCAAATCATAAGACAGGAGAAATTAAAGGGCTTAAAAAAAAAAGAAAATTGCACATATATGGCATAGTGGAGTGTCATGTAGCCTGTGAACCTGTAGTACTCATCCAATGAGGAAACAGGGGAGGTGATCAGGCGTTGGGTAATAGGGAATAAAAGGTTAGGATTTGTTTACTGAAATGTGCTCCTGATTGACAGGACCGTTGCAATCGTGAATAAAATAGCTTCAGAGAAGATCCAGTCTGAAGAAAATTATTTGAGATGTTTCTCACACTGGGCAATGGAGAAGGGCACAGAGAGGAGGTAATATTTTGCCATCGTAAATTTAGGGTCAGTGAGTGACAAAGGGTGTGAGTTGATGCATAAGTTGTTGCGTTCTGCTTCCCCCATGTCCCATGGGAAACCACCTGGGAAACAGGAGAGGGAGAGGGAGGACGTGCAGGAGAAGGAGGTGTGCTGGGAGTGGGAGCCCTCTCTGCAGCATTTGGGCAGGTGAAGGAGACACAGAAAGGACAAGCAAGGCAGTGCCCATATTGTGTGAATGAACCAAAGTGAAAGTGAAACCCAGCACGGGCGAGCTGTGTTTCGGGTCCCCGCTGTCCCACAGCTGTTCCCCTGCCCCACAGCAGCACGACTCTCAGGCAAAGGGGGAGAGCCCCCAGCAGCCCCACAGGATCCTACCTGAGCCCAGCTGGAGGAGGAGCAGAGTGATGAGGGAAGTCAGGAGGCCCCTGGCATGCCTGGTGAGACTGGGGCAGCCACAGTCCCAGGGGAGCCCCATCGGAGAGAGAGGTTTCCCAGGGGGCAGATGGCCCCCGCAGGTGTTCTTCTCCAAGGGAGCCCCACAAAAAGAGCGAGGTCCCTCACAGCACCCAGCTATGCTGCAGGAAGCACAGGGCTACGCCCAACTTCCCAAGCCTTTTCCTGCATCCTGTTTGCAATAATCGTCTAGGAGGAGCTCTGGCCCTGGAGCAGTGGGGACAAGTGTCTGGGGAGTTCTGCATGCCTGCCACTGAGATGCGGAATACTCTAAAACTGATCTGAATTAATATTTAGCTACATGTATGGTAAAATATCCTGATTATTGGGGATGTAGATGAGAACCTTACGAGAAGCAGATGTTAAAAGTAAGATATCGCTCAAAGCCAAGGGATGAGGGAAGGACAAAAAGTCGTTAGGGAAGGACAAAAAACTTGTTGGCAGGAAGCAAGGCAAAGTTAAGCAAAAACCTCCTCAATACTGTCCAACAGAAGGTCAAAGTCCAGAAAGGTAAAAAGTTTGACCTCCTCTTCCTCTTTGCCTTCATCCTTAAAGACCCCTTCCCACGACCACCAGGCTACATTGCACAGACGCAATGTGGAGGAGCTATAGGGAGGGGAGTATGGAAATGAGTACTTGAAGAGGTCCGCCTTTTCGGAGATGTTGTGTTTTAACCGGGCTGGCAGCTAAACACCACACAGCCATTTGCTTATTCTCCACCCTCCTTCTCTGGGATCACGGAGAGAACCGTGAAGTGAAGCCTGTGGATTCAGATAAAAGCAGTTTATTAAGACAGGAAAATAATAATAACAACAACTATAATAATAGTACTACTACTAACAGTGTGTACAAACAAGTGTTGCACAATGCAGATGCTTACCACCCACTGACCAATGTCCAGCCTATCACTGAGCAGCCGGCCTCCCCACCCCGGCTAGCCACCCCTATAGATTGTTTAGCATGACGTCAGGTGGTACGGAATACCCTTTTGGCCAGTTGGGGTCAGCTGTCCTTGGTATGTCCCCTCCCAGCTCCTGCTGCACCCCTAGCCTTCTCTCTGGCAGGGCAGAGCGAGAAGCTGAAACATCCTTGGCTTGGTGTAAGCACTGCTCTGCAACAATTAAAACATCAGCATGTTATCAGCACCCCAGGATACGGTTGGCCCTCCTGGCTGCTAGGGCACACTGCTGGCTCATGTTCAGCTTGCTGTCAGCCACAACCCCCAGATCTCTCTCTGCAGGGCTGCTCTCCAGCGTCTCATCCCCCAATCTGCACGTATACACAGGGTTGCCCCATCCCAGGTGCAGGACCCAGCACTTGCTCTTGTTAAACTTCATGCAGTTGGTGATTGCCCAGCTCTCCAATCTGTCCAGATCTCCCTGCAAGGGCTTTCCACCCTCAGCCGAGTCAACAACTCCTCCCAAGGGATGCCGTCCTTCCCAAACTGATCCTACACGTGCTTCCCACAGGCAGCGGCTCTCTAACAACTGCTCCTGTATGTGTCTGTAGTATAGGGTACATCTGTCAGGAGCAAACTGTTCCAATCTGGGTCATCCATGCATGACAGCTCCCCTCAGAGTCCCGTCTCCTGTGTGGGCTCCTCTCCATGGGCTGTGGCTCCGGCCTGGGGCCTGCTCCTGTGGGGGCTCTCCATGGGCCGCAGCCTCCTCCAGGCCCCTTCCACCTCCTGCACCGGGGACTCCTCCATGGGCTGCAGTGTGGAGATCTGCTCCGCCTGTACTCCTGCTCCACCCACTAACCGCCCCAGTCCCCTAAGGACCTGTTTACAGCCTTCAGGCTTCTCTCTTCAATGTCATCACTGCCAGCCTGGACTATTAAAGGAGGATAGCAGTCCTGAGGCTTGGAGTCAGCTTCCCCACCCTAGGCATCCTCCTGGCTACACTTTCTACCTCTTCCTCAGCTCCCGGTCCCTCAAGCTCCAGAGCTCCAAACCTGTTGTGGAAGGGCACCTGGGAAGGTGGGGCCAGTATGGGGTGGCATCGCCTGCAATGTTGAGCAGGGACCTGTCTCCATTCCTCCTCAACTCCTAGGTCCCCTGCCTCTGCCCGACAGCGTCAGGGGAGGGGGTCTGCCCCCATTTGGGGTGTCTCACCCCGGTACCTCTCCTTCAGGCCCCGCAGGGAGCTGCCCCACCACTCTATCTCCCGCTCGCACGCCCTGATAGCCCTCAACCTCTCCACCTCCTCCTTGAGTTCTGCCACCAGGCGGACCAGGTCATCTACCTGCACGCACCTCACGCACACAGAGTCTCTCTGCCTCCTACAGATGGCAGCAAGAGGATCAGATGCTCCCTGTACCCAGAGACCTGCACTGGTGCATTTTTGAGTGGGCTGTCAGTCTCGGTGTTGTTCCCCAGGGCATTGCATGGGAAAGTGGCATGGGGAAGTTGTGTGGAGCTTTGCACGGGAGCATTGCACAGCATTGCGTGGGGACGTTGCACAGGGCAGGGAAAAGGGGCTCGCCCACCACTGATCCAATCCCCATCCCTGCTCCAGCGCAGCCCCAAGTCCACATCATCCCCACAGAGACAGGGAATGCCCGTGTGCCCATGTGCCTCAGCTGCCACATCTGGGGCTTCTACCACCCCGAGGTGACCGTCATCTGGCTGCACAACGGGGACATCGTGGAGCCCGATGACTACAACCCCATCTCCGCCATCCCCAATGGCGACTGGAGCTACCAGACGCAGGTGTCCCTGCTGGTGGCCCCGGTGGCAGGCGACACCTACATGTGCTCGGTGCAGCACGTCAGCCTGCAGGAGCCTCTCCTGGAGGACTGGAGTGAGTGGAGAGGCGCAGGACCGCACCCAGAGGCCGGCGGCCTTGGCTCCTTGCTGCCACTCACCCGGCCATGTCCCTGCAGGTCCTGGACTGATGCCGGAGGTGACGATACTGGTGGTGGTGGCTACCGTGCTGATGGTGCTGGGACTTGGCTTATTTCTCGCCGGCGTCTACCGCTTCAGGGCCAGGCCTCCCGCCCCAGGTGAGTGTCCGGGGAGAGCCGGGACCGTGGTCAAGGGCGACGAGGACTCTGCTCACTCCTCTTCTCCCCCCGGCAGGTTACACTCCCCTCCCTGGAGACAACTACCCCACAGGTAACGGTGTCCCCATCCCCGTCCCCATTGGCAAGGGGCAAATTTCCCCATCTCTCACCCTGTGTGTCCACCCCTTCCCCAGGCTACATCTGAGGACCCCCAGACGGACACCTCCCGGCACCGGCGTCTCCTGGTTGGCTCCATCTCAGACCCGATGCCGTGGTGCTGACAATAAAGATGCTCCACAAGCCCCGCTGGTGTCTGTGCAGAGTTCTGGGCACAGGGCAGAGGGTCACGCACTCCTACGGTGTCATACCAAGAGGAGCGGGTGTGTGGGGGCCATGCCATGGGACCCCAAAGGGCCCTGGGGTGCCTCAGGCACAGCATTGCTGGCCGGCCAAGGGAAGGGATCGTCCCGCTCTGCTCGGCCTGCTGCGGCCTCGCATCGAGCACTGCGTGCAGCTGTGGGCACCGCAGCAGACGAAGGGCGTGAAACTGTGCGAGAGCCTCCAAGGGAGGGCAACGAGGACGGCGAAGGCTCTGCGGGGCAAGGCGTGTGAGGAGACGGTCTGCTGCAAGACGTCTTCCCAGGCAGCAAGGCCTCAGGACACAAAGCACCCAGGAAATGCCACTGCCAGACTCCATCTTCCTGTACAAAACTTTATTTGACACAGTCCTGCTGCTGCTGGGCCTTGGATACATATACTCTAGAGGAAGGAATAAAGTGCTGCCACAGGCTGCTCATGCTCAGCACCAGGCACATAGAACACATCAACCCCAACCTAGGAGGCAAAGGTGGTCTGCAATTGCTGTCAGCACACGGTGACCACATCCCTTGCCCTGGGGTCTGCAAGCAGTGCAAGCAGAGGGGAGAGGAGCGTGGAGAGCTGCTGCAGCCCCTGTGCTGCCCGTTGGGGCTCAGAGGCAGGCTGAGACCCGTGGGTGCCAGCAGGGCTTGTGCCCCAGCACAGGAGCCGCGTGCAGGGCAGAGCCCAGGGGCTGCAAGGGGCATGGCCCCTGCTTGTAGCATCCCAGCCCTCCTCCAGCAGCAGGGAGGAACACAGGGCAGCCCCTGGTCCCACTGCCCCTCATTCCTGTGCTGGTCCTGCAGGATCAAGGAGAGGTGATGCAGGAGTGTCTGGAGAAGGGCAGGAGCCCCCCAGGGCTGGGGACAGGGTCTGGGGTGTTCTGTCCCTCAGGCACAGCTGAATTCCCACTGTCTCCACCCAGAACCAGGGGCGGATGCTCTCCCCATTGAAGGAGGCTGCTGTGAAAGTGAAGATCTGGACCCCATTGTCAGCATTGATAAAAGACACCTGCCCCTGGGTACAGTCCAGACAGACCCAGATCCTTGTGGGGACAGGGGACAGGGACAAGGGAGTGGGAGGCCATGTGAGAGATGTGAGGTGCCCCTCATTGTACTCCACAGCCCAGATCCCTTCTACAGGGCTCCTTTTGAAATACCCCTTCCTCTCCACAGAAGCCCTGGCCACCCCCACAGCCCAACGTGAATCCTTTAGCCGCTCTACCTCCACCACCACCATCCAGCAGTGCCTCCCCTCTCTGAACTCCTCACGGCCCAGCACGCACCACCGGTAGTCAAATCTCTCTGGTGTGTCAGGAACCTTCTGCCATTCACTTTCACATCTCACACTGCAGTTGTCCTGAGACACAACAAGCAGGGGATGAGCCGTGTCCGGATCCAGGGTCACCTTCACTGCAGGGACAGAAGGAGCCAGGCCATCAGGGGCAGAGCGCAGCCCTGGGCAGGCTTTCCCCAGCTCGGGGCCAGGAGCTGCCCCACGGGGCAGGAGATGGGGCACCTCTTGGCTCCTGAACATGCCCCACCAAGGGCAGGAGAAACATCTCAGAGGGCAACCCAATGCACACCTACCTCTGTTTTGAGGCAGCAGACACCTTCTCCATGCTGGAAGGAGAGGGGAGAGCTGGTCACAGCCCACAGCTGGTGCCCAGTGGGTGTGGGCAGGGTGAGGGGCCAGCCCTGGGATGCTCTGTCCCGGCTGATCACCTTCCCCTGCACATCACGGTTGTATTGCCCCTGGGGTCTGAACACCAGGAGACTTACCCAGCTCTGCATCTTGTTTCACTACAAATGTAAGAGTAAAGCAAAATATGAGAAGAAGGCACAGGTCCTACTTCCATATCTCTCACTATGATGACTTTTTTTTTTTCTTTTCATTTTGGAGAATGAGACTTACCCAGCTCTGCAGCTTGTTCATCTACAAATGAAAGAGAAAAGCAATGAATCGATGTGAGGAGTCAGCTTCGCATCAATGACTGCTACAAACCGAAGATCCCAAATTCCTTCAGTTGTGGGGGGAAGAGAGACTCACCCAGTCTTGCATCTTTTTCCTCTGGAAAAGAAAACCATAAGGAATGCATGATCAGAGGGAAAAACTTCTCATCCATTGTCTACACCGCAAATTCTTCCAGTTCAGGGATGGACACTCACCTATCTCTGCAGCATGTTCCACTGGAAAAAAAAAAAAAAAAAAAAAAAAAAAGCAATGTAAGGTCAGATGGGAGTATGCCCATGGGAAGACACCAAATACCTTCTCTTTGGGGAAGGAGACTTACCCAGCTCTGCATCCTTTTTGGCTGTTATATAAAGCAAAACGAATGAATGGTCAGAGTGGAGAGACTTTCAATACAATACTGCTTCCATGGCTAGATTGCTAGACCCCAAACTTTTTTGCTCTCATGCATGGGCATAGACCACCTTGCTCCCAGACTTGTAGCGACCCCACTAACAAAGACCTAGGGCCAGCATTTTGCAAGATTTGTAGCAGCAGGGACAGACACTTGTGCATCTCTCTGCACCGTGCCACCAAAACACAAGGGGAAGTGAATGGGGATGAATGGAGGATGTCCTTTTCCTGAAGCGTCAGTGCAAAGCGGGGCAGCCCCACAGCTCGCTCCCCGTCCCCACCTTGATCCCCGTTCCTTTCAGAAATCCCGGCCATGTCCCGTGCCCAGGGCAGCCCCAGCCCCAGCACTCCCCACTCCCACCCCAGGCTCCAGCTGCTCCTCCAGCACCCCCTGAGCCACCAGCACACAAGCCCCCAGAGCCCACGCAGTCCAGGCCCTCCCGCAGGGACACCACCAGTTCCCAGGGGCTGGAGGCACGGACTGCAAGGACTCACCCAGCTCTCGCCTCTGTGCCGCTGAAAAGCAAAGGCGGAGGAAGAGGTGGTGAGCAGAGCAGCTTGGTTGCTGGGTGGGAACATGTGCAGGGAGGCTGCGCCTTGCCACCAGCCCCACGCTGCAGCCATGCTCCCTGGCCTCCCACCCAAGGCCCCTTGCTTGAGACCCAGGGGGGTCCCTGCAGAACACCTCCCTCCGCTCCATCCCTGCACTGCCAGCTTACCTTGCTTTCGAAAGAGATAAACACCCAGGCCAATGGACACAGCCAAAAGCACGAGGACCAGAGCCAGAGCCACCATCCAGGGCTGGGCGTTGTGGAAGAAGGGAGCTGAGAAAAGGCACCAGGAAAAGGGCTGTGTTTACATTGCCAGAGGTGGAAGAGCAAGACCCAGACTTCTCCTGGGTCAGGACAAGTGCAGGGTCAAGGAACACCTCACCCTGGCTGTGCCATTTGTACCTGCGATGTGCAGGGAAAATTTCCTCTCCTGCTGGAGGTGGTTGTTCCTGACCACACAGGACAAGGGCCCCTTCATACTCCCGGTCACGATGACGGCGCCTTCGATTTCAAAGAGCCCCTCCTGGTCCTGGGAATGTGTCTGGGAGACCGAGGGCAGGTGCTGCCCGCGAGCATCCCTCCACAGCAGCTGCGGCAGCGGGTACCAGCCGGCCGATCGACACAGCACCCGGACGCCTCCGGCCTCGTAGCCCCCCAGGGAGAGGTGGGGGTCAGCGCCTGTGGCTGTGGGAAGAGCGTGTGGCTGGGGCTTGACTTGGGGAGGGATTCAGTTCTAAGGCAAAGACCCCATGTGCTCCCATGCCAGACACAGCCTAACACACCAATGGCCCCAGGGGCTCAGGGACCAGGCACTCTGAGCACACACCCTCACCTCCAAAACATACTGGTAGGTGCCAGACCAAGAGAGCAGAGCTGCACAATGCCAGAGGCCCCAAATCACACAGAAAACCCAGGTGCTTAGCTTCCTGACAACATCTAAGGTCTCACCCAGAACAGAAAGCAATAGTAAAGCAGACACCTGGCTGTTCAGAGGACTCTGCAACTCTCCCTGTGTGCTGTTTGGTCCCATTGCTGACACAGCTGAATGTTCTGCTCAGCAGCCTGTGCCCAGTGCCCTCACAATATTATGATTATTGTCTTCAAGGACACCAGTGAAAACTGACAAAAGTATCCAGGGAGCTCTCTCCCCAAATATTTCCTCCACATTCATGAGCATGCTCCATGCTGTGAAACAGCTGAAACATTCAAAGGACACGTAAACTCTGCCCTGGCAGCATCACCCCAGCCACTAACCTGACACCTCCAGCTTCACAATGGCTTCGTCATAAGCATCAGCATCTCCCACAGTGCAGACATACTGGCCATCATCAGAGGGTCTCAGCTCCATGATTCGCAAGTCCAGGATTCCAGCAGAGAGACCATCTCTGAGCAACTCTGTCCTCCCGGCATATGCCCCCATCTGCTCCCCGTACAGGTCCTGTCCATCACGGTAGTGGTGCACCATCTCAGAGAACTTCTTCCTAATCCACCTGACCTCCAAGCTGCGAGCATCGCGTTGAGGGGACAAGTGGCAGGGCAGCACGACATCCTGCCCCACGGTGGCAGTGACAGAGTAGCCTGGTCCCTCCACTCTGAGCTGGGCTGGTGTGAGAAACAATGTTGTGTTTTTACAGTATAGAATTATTTTTCTGTATTTCAAGGTGTAGTCAGAATATCGAGAAATGCTAAGCAGATAAGTGGACCGTAGAAGGCCTCACTGTTCCAAAATAAGGTAGAAGCTTGAGAAAAACAGGACGAGCAGTGTGAGAACAGGAGAACAAACATCACAAGTTCTCAAAATATGAGAAAGGAGAAATAAAAGGGTTAAAAAAATAATAATCTACATATATGGTATAGAGGAGCGTCAAGTAGCTTGTGAACCTGTAGTACTCATCCAATGAGGAAACAGGGGAGGTGATCAGGCATTGGGAAATAGAGAAAAAAAGGTTAGGATTTGTTTACTAAAATGTGCTCCTGATTGACAGGACCGTTGCAATCGGGAATAAAATAGCTTCAGAGAAGATCCAGTCTGAAGATAATTATTTGAGATGTTTCTCACACTGGGAAATGGGGACAGGCACAGAGAGGAGGTGAGATTTTGCCATATGCAAGCATATGCCCCCATCTGCTCCCCGTACAGGTCCTCGCCATTGCAGTAGTGGTGCACTGTCTCAGAGATATGGTCCCGCATCCACCTGACGTCCAAGCTGCGAGCATCCCGTTTAGGGGACAAGTGGCAGGGCAGCACGACATCCTGCCCCACGGTGGCAGTGACAGAGTGGCCTGGTCCCTCCACTCTGAGCTGGGCTGGGCAATGGAGAAGGGCACAGAGAAGCAGTGAGATTTTGCCATTGTAAATTTAGGGTCAGTGAGTGTCAAAGGGGGAGCTGTGTGTGAGTTGGTGTGTGCTGCGTCCCCCGTGTCCCATGGGAAACCACAGGGGAAAGAGGAGAGGGAGAGGGAGGATGTGCAGGAGAAGGAGGTGTGCTGGGAGTGGGAGCCCTCTCTGCAGCATTAGGGCATAAGAAGTGCCAGATATGGCAGCTAAGTCAGCTCCCGTATTTTGTGAAAGTACAAAATTGAAAGTGAAACCCAGACGGGGCTGAGCTGTGGGCTCGGTTCCCCCGTTTTCCATGGCTGCTCCCATAACCTATGCCAGCTTGTTTGACAGGCCCAGGGTGGGAGAGCCCCCAGCAGCCCCACAGGATCCTACCTGAGCCCATCCGGAGGAGAAGCAGAGTGACGAGGGAAGTAAGGTGTCCCCTGGCATAGCCAGTGAAGCTGGGGTGGCCGCAGCCCCAGGGGAGCCCCATCTGAGAGAGAGGTCCCCCAGTGGGCAGTTGGCCCCCCAGAGGTTTTTCTCCAAGCCAAGATAGATGTCCTTTACAGCACCCAGCAGAGCTGCAGAAAGTACAAGTCTCCACCCAACCTTCCCAACCTTTGCCCAGTTCCTGGCTGCAATAACCTTCCTGGAGGAACTCTGCCTCTGGGGCAATGTCTGGGGAGCTCTGCAGGGCTGGCACCACCATCCCATTGCAGCTAGGTGCCCAGTCCACTGCCTTTAGCAAGCACGAGCTGCTTGTCCCCAGTGGGGGCCTCTCCAGACCTCCAGGGAAAGCCACTGGCTATGTTTGTTCATCTCCATGCATGCAAGGAGGAATCAAACTGTGAGCAATGGGAAAATGTGGAGAGATGGCAGTGAAGAGCTGAGCAGGATTGGAGGCTGCAGGGAATGGGGCACAGCTGGGTGTTGAGCCCAGAGCTGCCACCCTTTGCCCAGGGTGCTGAAGGCAAAGTGCCAGCCCTGATCCCAGCTCCAGTAAAGCAGCCGTGGCAGAAGGTTGGCTCAGAGGGGCAGGGACCTTCTTCTAGAGCTTAGGTGGATAAGGAAAGTTCCTGTTTGCTGGAGGCGAGGTCAGTCAATATGGAAAGACTACAGAGGTACTGTTTGCTTTTGTAGGGAGAAAAGTCGTATGGCCAAAGCTCAATTTGAGTTGAATCTGCATGGTACTGTGAGGGGAAATAAAATGCTTTTTTTTTTTTTTTTTTTTTTTTTTTTTCCTTAAACTATCTTAACAGCAAAAGTAGGATGAGAGAAAGCATTGGTTTGTTACTTGATGGGGATGGTTCAACAGGGTCATCGACTTCACAGAGATGTTTAATGTTTTCTTTGCCTTTAAAACTGATACTGGGCTGTGGGACTCCAGGTGCCCTGAGCTGGAGGACAGTGACTGCAGGAATGATAAAGTCTCAATAACCCCTAATTTGTGTGGGATTTGCTGCTCCAGATGAATGCATACAAGGCTATAGGGCCTGATGGGATTCATCCTAGAGTACTAAGACAACTGGCTGAAGGCATACGTCTTCCCCTCTAGGCCCTTCACCATGTCTGTGGCCCTTCTCTGGACACTCTCCAATAGTTTCATGTCTGTCTTGTACTGTGGTGGCCAGAACTGCACAAAGTATTTGAGGTGAGGCTGCAGAGTGGATAGTAGAGCAGGGCAATCACTACCCTTGACTGACTAGCAATGCTGTGCTCGATGCACCCCAGGATACGGTTGGCCCTCCTGGCTGCTAGGGCACACTGCTGGCTGATGTTCAGCTTGCTGTCAACCACAACCCCCAGATCCCTCTCTGCAGGGCTGCTCTCCAGTGTCTCATCCCCCAGTCTCCACGTATAGCCAGGGTTCCCCCATCCCAGGTGCAGGACCCAGCACTTGCCTTTGTTAAACTTCATGAAGTTGGTGATTGCCCAACTCTCCAGTCCGTCCAGATCTCTCTGCAAAGGCTTTCCACCCTCAGCTGAGTGCACAACTCCTCCCATGGGATGCCGTCCTTCCCAAACTAATCCTACATGGGCTTCCCACAGGCAGCAGCTCTCCAGCAACTGCCCTAGTATGGGTCTGTAGCATGGGGTACATCTCTCAGGAGCAAACTGTTCCAATCTGTGTCCCCCACGGGTGGCAGCTCCCCACATACCTCCTGATCCTGTGTGGGCTCCTCTCCACGGGCTGTGGTTCTGGCCTGGGGCCTGTTCCTGTGGGGTCTCTCCATGGGTTGCAGCCTCCTCCAGGCCCCTTCCACCTCCTTCACTAGGGGCTCCTCCATGGGCTGCAGTGTGGAGATGTGCTCCACCTGTACTCCCGCTCCATCCACTAACTGCCCCAGTCCCCTAACATCCTGTTAAACAGCCTTCAGGCTTCTCTCTTCAATGTCATCACTGCCAGCCTGAACTATCAAAAGAGGATAGCAGTCCTGAGGCTTGGAGTCAACTTCCTCACCCTAGGCATCCTCCTGGCTGCACTTTCTGCCTCTTCATCAGGTACCAGTCTCTCAAGCTCCAGGGCCTCAAACGTGTTGTGGAAGGGCACCTGGGAAGGTGGGGCTGGCAGGGGGTGTCATCGCCTGCGATGTCAAGCAGGGACCTGTCTCCATTCCTCCTCAACTCCTAGGTCCCCTCCCTCTGCCTGAGAGCGACAGGGGAGGGGGTCCACCCCCATTTGGGGTGTCTCACCCCGGTACCTCTCCTTCAGGCCCCGCAGGGAATTGCCCCACCACTCTACCTCCCACTCACACTCCCTGATAACCCTCAACCTCTCCACCTCCTCCTTGAGTTCTGCCACCAGGCAGACCAGGTCATCCACCTGCTCTCACCTCACACACACACAGTCTCTCTGCCTCCCGCAGATGGCAGCAAGAGGCTCAGACGCTCCCTGCACCCAGAGACCTGAACTGGTGCATTTTTGAGCGGGCAGTCAGTCTGGGTGTGTACAGACTTGCTAGAGAGAGCACTGTGCCTGGTGGAGACCATTGCAGCCTAGCTAGCAGTAGACCGCTGTTAGATGAGTTGTTCATATGGTCCGGGGGGGAACGCTCTGCCCTCCCTGCTCGCCTTGCCTACATGAACTTCCTGCCTCTGCCTTCTGATGTGCCATGCCCTGTTTGCCCTCCAAGATCACTGCGTTCCTGGTTGTTGCGCTCCCCATGGGCAGCTTTTGAATGGCCAAGCAGGGTCTCTGCTGGCTCTGCCAAAGCCTTGTTAGCCTCCGTGGTGAGGGCTGCTGAGTCCTGGCAGCTCCTTCAAGTGGGCTTGATGCTGGAAATAAGTAGCCATGCCTTTGGGATCCCCTGCTCTGCTGCACAGAGAATCTGCTCTGGAGCTAAATGCGTTGGCAATATTTTGCAGTGGGCATTGCATGGGGATGTTGCACAGGGGTGTTGTAGAGCATGTTGCAAGGAGATGTTGCACAGGGCATTGCATGGGGGTGTTGTAGAGCACACTGCGTGAGGACGTCACAGGAGGATGTTGCACGCAGCACTGCACAGGGCATTGCATTGCCCTTTGCAAGGGGATGTTGCACAGAGCAATGTCTCTTGCAGGGTGTGGCACAGGGGCATTGCACAGGGCATCTTGTGAGCATGGCATGGGGCTGTCGCATGTGACATCGCATGGGACAATGCATAGAGCTTGCACAGGGCGTTGCATGGGGACGTGGCATGGGGAAGTTGTGTGGAGCTTTGCACGGGAGCATTGCACAGAATTGCGTGAGGACGTTGCACAGGGCAGGGAAAATGGGCTCGCCCACCACTGACCCCATCCCCATCCGTGCTCCAGCGCAGCCCCAAGTCCGCATCATCCCCACGGAGACGGGGAACGCCCGTGTGCCCGTGCGCCTCAGCTGCCACATCTGGGGCTTCTACCCCCCCGAGGTGACCATCATCTGGCTGCACAACGGGGACATTGTGGAGCCCGACGACTACAACCCCATCTCCGCCATCCCCAATGGCGACTGGAGCTACCAGACGCAGGTGTCCCTGCTGGTGGCCCCGGTGGCAGGCGACACCTACACGTGCTTGATGCAGCACGTCAGCCTGCAGGAGCCTCTCCTGGAGGACTGGAGTGAGTGGAGAGGCGCAGGACCGCAGCCGGAGGCCGGCAGCCTTGGCTCCTTGCTGCCACTCACCCGGCCATGTCCCCGCAGGTCCTGGACTGATGCCGGAGGTGATGATACTGGTGGCGGTGGTCACTGTGCTGATGGTGCTGGGACTTGGCTTATTTCTCGCCGACGTCTACGGTTTCAGGGCCAGGCAACTACCCCGCAGGTAACGGTGTCCCCATCCCCGTCTCCATCGGCGAGGGGTGAAACACCCCATCTCTCAACCTGTGTCGCCCCCCCTTCCTAAGGCAGCTTCTGAGGACCTACAGATGGACAACTCCTGGCATCGAGGCTCCCAGTTGACCCATCTCAGACTCGATGCCGTGGTGCTGACAATAAAGATGCTCCACAAGCCCCACTCGTGTCTCTGCAGTGTTCTGGGGAGAGGGCAGAGGCTCACACACTCCTACGGTGTCTCACCAAGAGGAGCGGGTGTGTGGGGTCATGGCATGGGACTCCAAAGGGCCCTGGGGTGCCTCAGGCACGGCACTGCTGGCCGGCCGAGGGAAGGGATCATCCCGCTCTGCTCGCCCTGCTGCGGCCTCGCCTCGAACACTGCATGCATCTGTGGGCACCACAGCAGATGAAGGGCGTGAAACTGTGCGAGAGCCTCCAAGGGAGGGCTACGAGGACGGCGAAGGCTCTGCAGGGCAAGGTGTGTGAAGAGACGGTCTGCTGCAAGACGCCTTCCCAGGCAGCAAGGCCTCAGGACACAAAGCACCCAGGAAATTCCACTGCCAGACTCCATCTTCCTGTACAAAACTTTATTTGACACAGTCCTGCTGCTGCTGGGCCTTCATGTGCTCCAGCAGAGGGAACAAAGTGCCCCCACAGGCTGCTCATGCTCAGCACCAGGCACAGAGCAAGGGTCAACCCCAACCTAGGAGGCAAAGGTGGCCTGCAATGGCCGGCAGCACACAGTGACCACATCCCTTGCCCTGGGGTCTGAAAGTAGAGGGGAGAGGAGCGTGGAGAGCTGCTGCAGCCCCTGTGCTGCCCGCTGGGGCTCAGAGGCAGGGTGAGAGCCGTGGGTGCCAGCAGGGCTTGTGCCCCAGCACAGGAGCCGTGTGCAGGACAGAGCCCAGGGGCTGCAAGGGGCCTAGCCCCTGCTTGTAGCATCCCAGCCCTCCTCCAGCAGCAGGGAGGAACACAAAGCAGCCCCTGGCCCCACTCCCCTTATTCCTGTGCTGGTCCTGCAGGAGAAAGTAGAGGTGATGCAGGAGTGTCTGGAGAAGGGCAGGAGCCCCCCAGGGCTGGGGACAGGGTCTGGGGTGTTCTGTCCCTCAGGCACAGCTGAAATCCCTCTGTCCATAGCCAGAACCAGGGGCGGATGCTCTCCCCATTGAAGGAGGCTGCTGTGAAAGTGAAGATCTCGACCCCATTGTCAGCGTTGATAAAAGACACCTGTTGCTGGGTACAGTCCAGACAGACCCAGATCCTTGTGGGGATAGGGGACAGGAACAAGGGGGTGCGAGGAGATGTGAGAGACTTGAGATGTCCATTAACGTACTCCACAGCCCAGATCCCTCCTTCAGGGCTTGTGTTGATCTTCCCCTTCCTCTCCACAGAAGCCCTGGCCACCCCCACAGCCCAGCAAGAATACTTTAGCTTTTCTCCCTCCCCCTCCACCAACCAACAATGCCTCCCCTCTCTGAACTCCCCATGGCCCAGCACGCAGCACCAATAGTTAAATCTCTCTGGTGCGTCAGGAACCTGCTGCCATTCCCTTCCCCATCTCACACTGCTCTTGTCCTGAGACACAACAAGCAGGGGATGAGCCGTGTGTGGATCCAGGGTCACCTTCACTGCAGGGACAGAAGGAGCCAGGCCATCAGGGGCAGAGCGCAGCCCTGGGCAGGCTTTCCCCAGCTCGGGGCCAGGAGCTGCCCCACGGGGCAGGAGATGGGGCACCTCTGGGCTCCTGAGCACGGGGAATGTGAAGCACCACAGAGGGCAACCCAATGCACACCTACCTCCATTTTGAGGCAGCAGAAACCTTCTCCATGCTGGAAGGAGAGGGGAGAGCTGGTCACAGCCCATGGCTGGTGCCCAGTGGGTGTGGGCAGGGTGAGGGGCCAGCCCTGGGCTGCTCTGTCCCAGCTGCCCACCCTCCCCTGCACATTGCCTTGGGCTTCAGCACCGGGAGACTTACCCAGCTCTGCAGCTTGATTTTCTACAAATGAAAGGGAAAAGGAAAACATGAGAAGAAGGCATAGTTTCTGATTCCATACCTGTCACTATGATGCCTTTTTTTTCGTTGTTTTTTTCTGTTTGTAGAGTGAGACTTACCCAGCTCTGCAGCTTGTTCATCTACAAACAAAATAGAAAAGCAATGCATCAATGAGAGCAGTCAGTTTCTTAAAAATGACTGCTACAAACAAAAGACGCCCAATTCCTTCAGTTGGGGAGAGGAATAGAGACTCACCCAGTCTTGCATCTTTTTCCTCTGGAAAAGAAAAGCATAAGGAATGCATGATCAGAGGGAAAAAGCTTCTCATCTACTGTCTACACTTCAAATTCTTCTAGTTCAGGGATGCACACTCACCTATCTCTGCAGCTTGTTTCCCTGGAAAAGAAAAAGAAAAACAAAAGCAATGTAAGGTCAGAGGGGAGTATGCTTGTGGGAAGACACCAAATGCCTTCTCTTTGGGGAAGGAGACTTACCCAGCTCTGCATCCTTTTTCGCTGCTATAGAAAAGCAAAAGGAATGAATGGTCAGAGTGGAGAGACTTTCACCCCATTTCTGCTGCCATAGCTAGACCCCCAATTTTTTTGCTCTCATGCATGGGCACAGACGACCTTGCTCCCAGACTTGTAGTGACCAGACTAAGAAGGACCAGGTCCCAGCATTTTGCAAGACTTGTAGCAGTAAGGACAGACACTTGTGCAGCTCTCTGCATCATCCCACCAAAAGACAATGGGAAGTGATTGCACATGGGTGGAGGACGTCCCTGTCCGAGAAGCGTCAGTGTAGAGCGGGGCAGCCCCGCAACTCGCTCCCCGTCCCCACCTTGATCCCCGTTCCTTTCAGCCATCCCAGCCGTGTCCCGTGCCCAGGGCAGCCCCAGCCCCAGCACTCCCCACTCCCACCCCAGGCTCCAGCTGCTCCTCCAGCACCCCCGAGCCACCAGCACACAAGCCCCCAGAGCCCACCCAGACCAGGCCCTCCCGCAGGGACACCACCAGTTCCCAGGGGCTGGAGGCAGGGACTGCAAGGACTCACCCAGCTCTCGGCTCTGTGCCGCTGAAAAGGAAAGGCGGAGGAAGAGGTGGTGAGCAGAGCAGCTTGGTTGCTGGGTGGGAACATCTGCGGGGGGCTGCGCCTTGCCACCAGCACCACGCTGCAGCCATGCTCCCTGGCCTCCCACCCAAGACGATCCTAAGGCCTTTGGCATCCCCAGGGGAACATTCCCTTCCAACTCCTATGCACATCCCTCAGCCCCGCTCCAGACCCAGGGGTGTCCCTGCAGAACACCTCCCTCCGCTCCATCCCTGCACTGCCAGCTTACCTTGCTTTCGAAAGAGATAAACACCCAGGCCAATGGACACGACAAAAAGCACAGGGACCAGAGCCAGAGCCACCATCCAGGGCTGGGCATTGTGGAAGAAGGGAGCTGAGAAAAGGCACCAGGAAAAGGGCTGTGTTTCCATGCCTGCAGGTGGAAGAGGAAGACCCAGACTTCTCCTGGGTCAGGACAAGTGCAGGGACCAGGAACACCTCACCCTGGCTGTGCCATTTGTACCTGCAATGTGCAGGGAAAATTTCCTCTCCTGCTGGAGGTGGTTGTTCCTGACCACGCAGGACAAGGGCCCCTCCATGCTCCCGGTCATGATGACGGCGCCTTCGATTTCAAAGAGCCCCTCCTGGTCCTGGGAATGTGTCTGGGAGACCGAGGGCAGGTGCTGCCCGCGAGCATCCCTCCACAGCAGCTGCGGCAGCGGGTACCAGCCAGCCGATCGACACAGCACCCGGATGCCTCCGGCCTCATAGCCCCCCAGGGAGAGGTGGGGGTCAGCGCCTGTGGCTGGGGGAAGAGTGTGTGGCTGGTACTTGACTTGGGGAGGGATTCAGTTCTAAGGCAAAGACCCCATGTGCTCCCATGCCAAACACAGCCTAACACACCAATGGCCCCAGGGGCTCAGGGACCAGGCACTCTGAGCACACACCCTCACCTCCAAAACATACTGGTAGGTGCCAGACCAAGAGAGCAGAGCTGCACAATGCCAGAGGCCCCAAATCACACAGAAAACCCAGGTGCTTAGCTTCCTGACAACGTCTAAGGTCTCACCCAGAACAGAAAGCAATAGTAAAGCAGACACCCGGCTGTTCAAAGGACTCTGCGACTCTCCCTGTGTGCTGTTTGGTCCCATTGCTGACACAGCTGAAGGTGCTGCTCAGCAGCCTGTGCCCAGTGCCCTCACAATATTATGATTACTTTCTTCAAGGACACCAGTGAAAACTGACAAAAGTATCCAGGGAGCTCTCTCCCCAGATATTTCCTCCACATTCATGAGCATGCTCCATGCTGTGAAACAGCTGAGACATTCAAAGGACACGTAAACTCTGCCCTGGCAGCATCACCCCAGCCACTAACCTGACACCTCCAGCTCCACAATGGCTTCAGAATAAGCATCAGCATCTCGCACGGTGCAGACGTACAGGCCATCATCAGAGGGTCTCAGCCCTGTGATTCGCAAGTCCAGGCTTCCAGCAGAGAGACCATCTCTGAGCAACTCTGTCCTCCCGGCATATGCCCCCATCTGCTCCCCATAGAGGTCCTCTCCATTGTGGTAGTGGTGCACTGTCTCAGAGAACTTCTTCCTAATCCACCTGACGTCCAAGGTGCGAGCATCGCGTTGAGGGGACAAGTGGCAGGGCAGCACGACATCCTGCCCCACGGTGGCAGTGACAGAGTAGCCTGGTCCCTCCACTCTGAGCTGGGCTGGTGTGAGAAACAATGTTGTGTTTTTGCAGTAGAGAATTATTTTTCTGTATTTTAAGGTGTAGTCAGAATAAGCAGAAATGCTAAGTAGATAAGTGGACCGTAGAAGGCCTCACTGTTCCAAAATAAGGTAGAAGCTTGAGAAAAAGAGGACGAGCAGTGTGAGAACAGGAGAACAAAGATCACAAGTTCTCAAAATATGAGAAAGGAGAAATAAAAAGGTTAAAAAAAAATAATAATCTACATATATGGTATAGAGGAGCATCAAATAGCTTGTGAACCTGTAGTACTCATCCAATGAGGAAACAGGGGAGGTGATCAGGCATCGGGTAATAGAGAAAAAAAGGTTAGGATTTGTTTACTAAAATGTGCTCCTGATTGACAGGACCGTTGCAATCGGGAATAAAATAGCTTCAGAGAAGATCCAGTCTGAAGATAATTATTTGAGATGTTTCTCACACTGGGAAATGGGGACGAGCACAGAGAGGAGGTAAGATTTTGCCATTGTAAATTTCGGGGCAGTGAGTGACAAAGGGCGTGAGTTGGTGCGTGCTGTATCCCCCATGTGCTATGGGAAACCACCTGGGAAACAGGAGAGGGAGAGGGAGGACGTGCAGGAGAAGGAGGTGTGCGGTGAGTGGGAGCCCTCTCTGCAGCATTCAGGCAAGAGAAGAAGAGCCAGAAGGGGCAGCCAAGGAAGCCCCCGTATTGTGTGAAAGAACCAAAGGGAAAGTGAAACCCAGTATGGGCGAGCTGTGGGCTCAGGTACCCTTTTTCCCAAAGCCTCTCCCCTGCCCCACAGCAGCAAGTCTGCATGCAAAGGGGGTAGAGCCCCCAGCAGCCCTGCAGGATCCTACCTGAGCCCAGGCGGAGGAGGAGCAGAGTGATGAGGGAAGTCAGGAGGCCCCTGGTATGGCCAGTGAGGCTGGGGCAGCCACAGCCCCAGGGGAGCCCCATCTGAGAGAGAGGTCCCCCAGGGGGCAGGTGGCCCCCCAGGTGTTTTTTTCCAAGCCAAGATAGATGTCCTTTACAGCACCCAGCAGAGCTGCAGAAAGTACAAGGTTACGCCCAACTTTCCCAACCTTTGCCCAGTTCCTGGCTGCAATAACCTTCCTGGAGCAACTCTGCCCCTGGGGCAATGTCTGGGGAGCTCTTCAGGGCTGGCAGCACCATTCCATCACAGCTGGGTGCCCAGTCCACTGCCTTTAGCAAGCATGAGGTGCTTGACCCCAGTGGGGGCCTCTCCAGACCTCCAGGGAAAGCCACTGGCTATGTTCGTTCGTCTCCATGCATGCAAAGAGGAATCAAACTGTGAGCAATGGGAAAATGGGGAGAGATAGCAATGAAGAGTTGAGCAGGATCGGAGGCTACAGGGAATGGGGCTCAGCTGGGTGCCGAGCCCAGAGCTGCCACCCTTTGCCCAGGGTGCTGAAGGCAAAGTGCCAGCCCTGATCCCAGCTCCATTAAAGCAGGCATGGCAGAAGGTTGGCTCAGATGGGCAGGGACCTTATTCAAGAGCTTCAGTGGATAAGGAAAGTTCCTGTTTGCTAGAAGGGAAGTCAGGCACTATGGAAGGACTGCAAAGGTACTGTTCGCCTTTGTAGGGAGAAAATTCATATGGCCAAAGCTCAATTTGAGTTGAAGCTGGACAGTATTGCGAGGGGAAATAAAATGCTTTTTATTTTTTTATTTTTTTTTTAATTTAAACTCTCTAAAAAGTGAAAGTAGGATGAGAGAAAGCATTGGTCTGTTACTTGATGGGGATGGTCAGACAGGGTCATCGACTTCACAGAGATACAGACACAGACACAGACACAGACACAGAATTTCTAGGTTGGAAGAGACCTCAAGATCATCGAGTCCAACCTCTGACCTAATGCTAACAGTCCCCACTAAACCATATCCCTAAGCTCTACATCTAAACGTCTTTTGAAGACTTCCAGGGATGGTGACTCCACCACCTCCCTGGGCAGCCCGTTCCAGTACCTAACAACCCTTTCAGTAAAGAAATTCTTCCTAACATCTAACCTAAAACTCCCCTGGCGTAACTTTAGCCCATTCCCCCTCGTCCTGTCACCAGGCACATGGGAGAACAGGCCAACCCCCACCTCGCTACAGCTTCCTTTAATGTACTTATACAGAGCAATAAGGTCACCCCTGAGCCTCCTCTTCTCTAGGCTGAACAAGCCCAGCTCCTTCAGCCGCTCCTCATAGGACTTGCTCTCCAGGCCCCTCACCAGCTTCGTCGCCCTTCTCTGGACCCGCTCAAGCACCTCGATGTCCTTCTTGTAGCGAGGGGCCCAAAACTGAACACAGTACTCGAGGTGCGGCCTCACCAGAGCCGAGTACAGGGGGACGATCACCTCCCTAGCCCTGCTGGTCACAGTGTTTCTGATACAAGCCAGGATGCCATTGGCCTTCTTGGCCACCTGAGCACACTGCTGGCTCATATTCAGCCGACTGTCCACCATCACTCCCAGGTCCTTCTCTGCCTGGCAGCTCTCCAACCATTCCTCACCCAGCCTGTAGTTCTGCTTGGGGTTATTGTGCCCCAGGTGCAGGACCCGGCACTTGGCCTTGTTGAACTTCATACAGTTGACCTCAGCCCATCGGTGCAGCCTATCCAGATCCTCCTGCAGAGCCTTCCTACCCTCGAGCAGATCGACACACGCACCTAGCTTGGTGTCATCTGCAAACTTACTGAGGGTGCACTCAATGCCGTCATCCAGATCATTGATGAAGATGTTGAAGAGGACCGGCCCCAGCACCGAGCCCTGGGGGACGCCACTAGTGACTGGCCTCCAACTGGACTTGGCTCCATTTACCACAACTCTTTGGGCCCGGCTATCCAGCCAGTTTCTAACCCAAGGAAGCGTGCGCCAGTCCAAGCCAAGAGCAGCCAGTTTCTTGAGGAGAATGCTGTGGGAGACGGTGTCAAAAGCCTTGCTGAAGTCAAGGTAGACCACATCCACAGCCTTTCCCTCATCCACCCAGCGCGTCACTTTGTCGTAGAAGGAGATCAGGTTCGTCAAGCAGGACCTGCCTTCCATAAACCCATGCTGGCTGGGCCTGATCGCCTGCTTGCCCTTCAAGTGCCGCATGATGACTCCCAAGAGGATCTGCTCCATGAGCTTCCCTGGTACTGAGGTCAAACTGACCGGCCTGTAGTTCCCCGGCTCTGCCCTCCGGCCCTTCTTGTAGATGGGCGTCACATTTGCTAGTCGCCAGTCAGCTGGGACCTCCCCCGATAGCCAGGACTGCTGATAAATGATTGATAGGGGCTTGGCCAGCTCCTCTGCCAGTTCTCTCAGTACCCTTGGGTGGATCCCGTCCGGCCCCATCGATTTGTGGACATCCAAGTGCCGTAGCAGGTCACCAACCAGTTCTTCGTGGATGGTGAGGGCCACATCCTGCTCCCCGTCCCCTTCCACCAGTTCTGGGTACTGGGTATCCGGAGAGCAACCGGTTTTGCCGCTAAAGACTGAGGCAAAGAAGGCATTGAGCACCTCCGCCTTTTCCTCATCTCTTGTAACATGTTTAATGCTTTCTTTGCATTCAACACCGATGCTGGGCTGTGGGACCCCAGGTGCCCTGAGCTGGAGGACAGTGACTGCAGGAACGATATAGTCCCAACAAACCCCGAATTTGTGTGTGATTTGCTGCTCCAGATGAATGCATACAAGACTATAGGGCCAGATGGGATTCATCCCAGAGTACTAAGAGAACTGGCTGAAGGCATACATCTTCCCCTCAAGGCCCTTCACCATCTCTGTGGCCCTTCTCTGGACACTCTCCAATAGTTTCACGTCCTTCTTGTGCTGTGGTGCCCAGAACTCCACAGAATCCTCGAGGTGAGGCCGCAGAGCGCAGAGTGGAGTGGGACAATCACCTCCCTTGGCCGACTATCAATGCCATGCTTGATGCACCCCAGGATACGGTTGGCCCTCCTGGCTGCTAGGGCACACTGCTGGCTCATGTTCAGCTTGCTGTCAACCACAACCCCCAGATCCCTCTCTGCAGGGCTGCTGTCCAGCGTCTCATCCCCCAGTCTGTACGTGTAGCCAGGGTTGCCCCATCCCAGGTGCAGGACCTGGCACTTGCCTTTGTTAAACTTCATGCAGTTGGTGATTGTCCAACTCTCCAATCTGTCCAGATCTCCTTGCAAGGGCTTTCCACCCTCAGCTGAGTGCACAACTCCTCCCATGGGATGCCGTCCTTCCCAATCTGATCTTACATGGGCTTCCCACAGGCAGCAGCTCTCCAGCAACTGCCCCAGTGTGGGTCTGTAGTATGAGGTACATCTGTCAGGAGCAAACTGTTCCAATCTGGGTAACCCATGGGTTGCAGGTCCCCCCAGAACTCCTGATCCTGCGGGGGCTCCTCTCCATGGGCTGTGGCTCTGGCCTGGGTTCTGCTCCTGCAGCACTCCATGGGCTGCCGCCTCCTCCAGGCCCCTTCCACCTCCTGCACCGGGGGCTCCTTCATGGGCTGCAGTGTGGAGATCTGCTCCACCTGTACTGCCGCTCCATCCACTAACCGCCCCAGTCCCCTAACGTCCCATTTGACAGCCTTCAGGCTTCTCTCTTCAATGTCATCACTGCCAGTCTGGACTATCAAAGGGGGTAGTAGTCAGAGGGGTAAACCAGGTTGGGAAGTTTTCTGGGAATTTCCTTGACCCTGGCCCCAGGGAGGAAGCAGACTTCCCTACAGCTAGGGTCAGGCTGACAACTAGGGCCCTTTGTTCCCCTGAGAAGGGAGTCGCCTACAACAATCTCCCTTCTTTCTGTCCTGGTGGAGGCAGTCCTGAGGCGTGGAGTCGACTTCCTGAGTGTAAGCATGCTCCTGGCTACACTTTCTACCTCTTCCTCAGCTACCGGTCCGTCAAGCTCCAGAGCTCCAAACCTGTTGTGGAAGGGCACCTGGGAAGGTGGGGCTGGCAGGGGTATCCACCCTGGTAATCCACCCTGGTAGATTTAAAATCCAGAGAGCAGGGCTGCACAATGCCAGTGACCCCAAATCATGCAGAAAACACATGTGCTGCACTCCAGCACCTCCAGGTAGCATCTCTGCACCAAGCCGTGGCGGGTGATGAAGCCCCAAGACTTCCTGACAACAACTCATGTCTCCCCCAGCACAGAAAGCAAAATAAAGCAGACCTCAGAGCCTCAGAGGATTCTCCCTGTGTGCTGTTTGGTCCCATTGCTGACAAAGCTGAAGGTGCTGCTCAGCAGCCTGTGCCCAGTGCCCTCACAATACTATGATTATTGTCTTCAAAGACACCAGTAAACACTGACAAAACTCTCCAGGGAGCTCTCTCCCCAAATATTACCTCCACATCCATGGGCATGCTCCATGCTGTGAAACAGCTGAAACATTCAAAGGACACGTAAACTCTGCCCTGGCAGCATCACCCCAGGCTCTAACCTGACACCTCCAGCTTCACAATGGCTTCGTCATAAGCATCAGCATCTCCCACAGTGCAGACGTACTGGCCATCATCAGAGGGTCTCAGCCCTGTGATTCGCAAGTCCAGGCTTCCAGCAGAGAGACCATCTCTGAGCAACTCTGTCCTCCCGGCATATGCCCCCATCTGCTCCCCATAGAGGTCCTCTCCATTGCGGTAGTGGTGCACTGTCTCAGAGATATGGCCCCGGATCCACCTGACGTCCAAGGTGCGAGCATCGCGTTGAGGGGACAAGTGGCAGGGCAGCACGACATCCTGCCCCACGGTGGCAGTGACAGAGTAGCCTGGTCCCACCACTCTGAGCTGGGCTGGTGTGAGAAACAATGTTGTGTTTTTGCAGTAGAGAATTATTTTTCTGCATTTCAAGGTGTAGTCACAATAAGCAGAAATGCTAAGTAGATAAGTGGACCATAGAAGGCCTCACTGTTCCAAAATAAGGTAGAAGCTTGAGAAAAACAGGACGAGAAGTGTGAGATCAGGAGAACAAAGATCACAAGTTCTCAAGACATAAGAAAGGAGAAATTAAAGCGTTGAAAAAAAGAATGAAAGAAAGAAAGAAAGAAAAATTATACATATTTGGTATAGAGGAGTGTCGAGTGTCTTGTGAACCTTTAGTGCTCATCCAATGAGGAAACGGGGGGGTGATCAGGCGTCGGGTAATAGGGAATAAAATGTTAGGATTTGTTTACTAAAATGTACTCCTGATTGGCAGGACCGTTGCAATCGTGGATAAAATAGCTTCAGAGAAGGTCCAGTCTGAAGAAAATTATTTGAAATTTTTCTCACACTGGGCAATGGAGAAGGGCACAGAGAGGAGGTAAGATTTTGTCATCGTAAATTTAGGAGCAGTGAGTGACAAAGGGCATGAGTTGGTGCGTGAGTTGGTGCGTGCTGCGTCCCCCGTGTCCCATGGGAAATGACCGGGGAAACAGGAGAGGGAGAGGGAGGACGTGCAGGAGAAGGAGGTGTGATGGGAGAGGGAGCCCTCTCTGCAGCATTTGGGCGGGTGAAGGAGACACAGAAAGGGCAGGCAGGGCAGCAGCCATATTGCGTGAAAGAACGAAAGTGAAAGTGAAACCCAGCACGGGCGAGCTGTGGGCTTGGGTCCCCCCTTTCCCAGGGCCACTCCCCTGTCCCACAGCAGCAAGTATGCATGCACAGGGGGGAGAGCCCCCAGCAGCCTCTCAGGGTCCTACCTGAGCCCAGCTGGAGGAGAAGCAGAGTGACGAGGGAAGTCAGGAGGCCCCTGGCATGGCCGGTGAAGCTGGGATGGCTGCAGCCCCAGGGGAGCCCCATCTGAGAGAGAGGTCCCCTAGGGGGCAAGCAGCCCCCCAGGTGTTTTTCTCCAATCCAAGATAGATCTCCTTCTCAGCACCCAGCAGAGCTGCAGAAAGCACAAGGCTCCGCCCAACTTTCCCAACCTTTGCCCAGTTCCTGGCTGCAATAACCCTCCTGGAGCAGCTCTGCCCCTAGGGGAATGTCTGGGGAGCTCTGCAGGGCTGGCACCACCATCCCATTGCAGCTGGGTGTCCAGTCCACTGCCTTTAGCAAGCACGAGGTGCTTGTCCCCAGCAGGGGCCTCCCCAGACCTCCAGGGAAAGCCACTGGGTAAGGTCGTTCATCTCCATGCATGCAAGGAGGAATCAAACTGTGAGCAATGGGAAAATGTGGAGAGATGGCAGTGAAGAGCTGAGCATGATCGGAGGCTGCAGGGAATGGGGCACAGCTGGGTGTTGAGCCCAGAGCTGCCACCCTTTGCCCAGGGTGCTGAAGGCAAAATGCCAGTGCCTCTCCCGGCTCCAGTAAAGCAGCTGTGGCAGAAGGTTTGCTCAGATGGGCAGGGACCTTCTTCTAGAGCTTAGGTGGATAAGGGAAGTTCCGGTTTGCTAGAGGTGAGGTCAGTCAATATGGAAGGACTACAGAGGTACTGTTTGCCTTAGTAGGGAGAAAATTTGTATGGCCAAAGCTCAATTTGAGTTGAAGCTGTACAGTATTGCGAGGGGAAATAAAATGCTTTTTTTTTTTTTTTTTTCTTAAACTATCTTAACAGCAAAAGTAGGATGAGAGAAAGCATTGGTCTGTTACTTGATGGGGATGGTCATGCAGGGTCATTCACAGAGATGTTTAATGCTTTCTTTGCCTTCAACACTGATGCTGGGCTGTGGGACTCAAGATGCCCAGAGCTGGAGGACAGTGACTGCAGGAACGATAAAGTCTCAATAACCCCAAATTTGTGTGGGATTTGTTGCTCCAGATGAATGCATACAAGACTATAGGGCCTGATGGGATTCATCCTAGAGTACTAAGAGAACTGGCTGAAGGCATATGTCTTCTCCTCTAGGCCCTTCACCATCTCTGTGGCCTTTCTCTGGACACTCTCCAAGAGTTTCAGGTCCTTCTTGTACTGTGGTGGCCAGAACTGCACACAGTATTTGAGGTGAGACTGCACAGTGTATAGTAGAGCAGGGCAATCACTACCCTTGACTGACTAGCAATGCTGTGCTCGATGCACCCCAGGATACAGTTGGCCCTCCTGGCTGCTAGGGCACACTGCTGGCTCATGTTCAGCTTGCTGTCAACCACAACCCCCAGATCCCTCTCTGCAGGGCTGCTCTCCAGTGTCTCATCCCCCAGTCTGTACGTGTAGCCAGGGTTGCCCCATCCCAGGTGCAGGACCTGGCACTTGCCTTTGTTAAACTTTATGAAGGTGGTGATTGCCCAACTCTCCAATCTGTCCAGATCTCCCTGCAAGGGCTTTCCACCCTCAGCCGAGTCAACAACTGCTCCCATGGGATGCCGTCCTTCCCAATCTGATCCTACATGGGCTTCCCACAGGCAGCAGCTCTCCAGCAACTGCCCTAGTATGAGTCTGTAGTATGAGGTACATCTCTCAGGAGCAAACTGTTCCAGTCTGGGTCGTCCATGCATGACAGCTCCCCCCAGAGTCCCATCTCCTTTGTGGGGTCCTCTCCATGGGCTGTGGCTCCGGCCTGGGGCTGCACCTGCGGGGGCTCTCCATGGGCCGCAGCTTCTTCCAGGTCCCATCCACCTCCTGCACCAGGGGCTCCTCCATGGGCTGCAGTGTGGAGATCTGCTCCACCTGTACTCCCGCTCCATCCACTAACCGCCCCAGTCCCCTAACGTCCCGTTTGACAGCCTTCAGGCTTCTGTCTTCAATGTCAGGACTGCCAGCCTGGACTATCAAAAGAGGATAGCAGTCCTGAGGCGTGGAGTCGACTTCCTCACCCTAGGCATCCTCCTGGCTACACTTTCTACCTCTTCCTCAGCTCCCGGGCTCTCAAGCTCCAGGGCCTCAAACCTGTTGTGGAAGGGCACCTGGGAAGCAGGGGCTTGTATGTGGTGGCATCGCCTGCGATGTCTAGCAGGGACCTGTCTCCATTCCTCCTCAACTCCCAGGTCCCCTCCCTCTGTCCAACAGCGACAGTGGAGGGGGTCCACCCCCATTTGGGGTGTCTCACCCCGGTACCTCTCCTTCAGGCCCCGCAGGGAGTTGCCCCACCACTCTATCTCCCACTCACACTCCCTGATAGCCCTCAACCTCTCCACCTCCTCCTTGAGTTCTGCCACCAGGCAGACCAGGTCATCCACCTGCTTGCACCTCACGCACACAGAGTCTCTCTGCCTCCTGCAGATGGCAGCAAGAGGCTCAGATGCTCCCTGCACCCAGAGACCTGAACTGGTGCATTTTTGAGTGGGCAGTCGGTCTGGGTGTGTACAGACTTGCTAGAGAGATCACTGTGCCTGGTGGAGACCATTGCAGCCTAGGTAGTGGTAGACCGCCGTTAGTGGAGTTGTTCGTATGGGCGGGGAGGAACGCTCTGCCCTCCCTGCTCGCCCAGCCTGTGTAAACTGCCTGCCACTCCCTTCCGATGTGCTATGCCCTGTTTGCCCATCCTGGTCACCTCGTTCCTGGTCGTCCTGCTTACCAGGGGCAGCTTTTGAAGAACCAAGCACGGGGCCTTGCTGGCTCTGCCTATGCCTTGTTAGCCTCCCTCGCAAGGGCTGCTGGGTCCTGGTGGCTCCCTCAAGTGGGCTTGATGCTGGAAAAAAATAGCCCTTCCTGTGGGATCCCCTGCTCCACTGCAGAAAGAGTTTGCTCTGGAGCTGATCACCTCGGCAAGATGTTGCACTGGGCATTGCATGGGGGTGTTGTAGAGCACACTGTATGAGGACGTCACAGGGGGATGTTGCACGGAGCACTGCACAGCGCATTGCATTGCCCTTTGCAAGAGGATGTTGCACAGAGCAATGCCTCTAGCAGGGAGTGGCACAGGGGCGTTGCACAGGGCATTGCATGGGGATGTCACACGAGACATCGCATGGCACAATGCCTAGAGCTTTGAATGGGAGCATTTCACGGGAGCGTTTCATGGAACGTTGTGTGGGGACGTTGCACAGGGGAGGGAAAAGGGGCTCGCCCACCACTGACCCCATCCCCATCCCTGCTCCAGCGCAGCCCCAAGTCCGCATCATCCCCGTGGAGATGGGGAACGCCCGTGTGCCCGTGCGCCTCAGATGCCACATCTGGGGCTTCTACTCCCCCGAGGTGACCGTCATCTGGCTGCGCAACGGGGACATCGTGGAGCCCGACGACTACAACCCCATCTCCGCCATCCCCAATGGCGACTGGAGCTACCAGACGCAGGTGTCCCTGCTGGTGGCCCCGGTGGCGGGCGACACATACACGTGCTCGGTGCAGCACATCAGCCTGCAGGAGCCTCTCCTGGAGGACTGGAGTGAGTGGAGAGGCGCAGGACCGCACCCGGAGGCCGGCGGACTTGGCCTCCAAGGGAGTGCTACGAGGAGGGCGAAGGCTCTGCAGGGCAAGGCGTGTGAGGAGACGGTCTGCTGCAAGATGCCTTCCCAGGCAGCAAGGCCTCAGGACACAAAGCACCCAGGAAATGCCACTGCCAGACTCCATCTTCCTGTGAAAAACTTTATTTGACACAGTCCTGCTGCTGCTGGGCCTTGATGTGCTCCAGAGGAAGGAACAAAGAGCCCCCACAGGCTGCTCATGCTCAGCACCAGACACAGAGCAAGGATCAACCCCAACCTAGGAGGCAAAGGTGGCCTGCAATGGCCAGCAGCACACAGTGACCACATCCCTTGCCCTGGGGTCTGAAAGCAGAGGGGAGAGGAGCGTGGAGAGCTGCTGCAGCCCCTGTGCTGCCCGCTGGGGCTCAGAGGCAGGGTGAGAGCCGTGGGTGCCAGCAGGGCTTGTGCCCCAGCACAGGAGCCGCGTGCAGGACAGAGCCCAGGGGCTGCAAGGGGCCTAGCCCCTGCTTGTAGCATCCCAGCCCTCCTCCAGCAGCAGGGAGGAACACAGGAGAGCCCCTGTCCCCACTGCCCCTCATTCCTGTGGTGCTCCTGCAGGACCAAGGAGAGGTGATGCAGGAGTATCTGGAGAAGAGTAGGAGTCACCCAGGGCTGGGGACGGGGTCTGGTGGGTGCTGTCCCTCAGGCACAGCTGAATTTCCTCTGTCTCCACCCAGAACCAGGGGCGGATGCTTTCCCCATTGAAGGAGACTGCTGTGAAAGTGAAGATCTGGACCCCATTGTCAGCATTGATAAAAGACACCTGCCCCAGGGTACAGTCCAGACAGACCCAGATCCTTGTGGGGACAGGGGACATGGACAAGGGAGTGCGAGGAGATGTGAGAGATGTGAGGTGCCCCTCATAGTACTCTACAGCCCAGATCCCTTCTTCAGGGCTCCTTTTGAAATACCCCTTCCTCTTCACAGATTTTCTGGCCACCCCCACAGCCCACAGTGAATTCTTTAGCCGCTCTCCCTCCACCTCCACCAACCAGCAGTGCCTCCCCTCTCTGAACTCCTCATGGCCCAGCACACACCACCGGTAGTCAAATCTTTCTGGTGTGTCAGGAACCTGCTGCCATTCACTTTCACATCTCACACTGCAGTTGTCCTGAGACAGGACAAGCTGGGGATGAGCCGTGTCTGGATCCAGGGTCACCTTCACTGCAGGGACAGAAGGAGCCAGGCCATCAGGGGCAGAGCTCAGCCCTGGGCAGGCTTTCCCCAGCTCGGGGCCAGGAGCTGCCCCACGGGGCAGGAGATGGGGCACCTCTTAGCTCCTGAACATGCCCCAGCAAAGGCAGGAGGAGCACCTCAGCGGGCAACCCAGTGCACACCTACCTCCATTTTGAGGCAGCAGAAACCTTCTCCATGCTGGAAGGAGAGGGGAGAGCTGGTCACAGCCCACAGCTGGTGCCCAGTGGGTGTGGGCAGGGTGAGGGGCCAGCCCTGGGCTGCTCTGTCCCAGCTGCCCACCCTCCCCTGCACATTGCCTTGGGCTTCAGCACCGGGAGACTTACCCAGCTCTGCAGCTTGATTCTCTACAAATGAAAGCAAAAAGGAAAACATGAGAAGAAGGCATAGTTTCTGATTCCATACCTGTCACTATGATGCCTTTTTTTTCGTTGTTTTTTTTTTTTTTTTTTTTTTTTTTTTTCTGTTTGTAGAGTGAGACTTACCCAGCTCTGCAGCTTTTTCATCTACAAGCAAAATAGAAAAGCAATGCATCGATGAGAGCAGTCAGTTTCTTAACAATGACTGCTACAAACAAAAGACGCCCAATTCCTTCAGTTGGGGAGAGGAATAGAGACTCACCCAGTCTTGCATCTTTTTCCTCTGGAAAAGAAAAGCATAAGGAATGCATGATCAGAGGGAAAAAGCTTCTCATCTACTGTCTACACTTCAAATTCTTCCAGTTCAGAGATGCACACTCACCTATCTCTGCAGCTTGTTTCCCTGGAAAAGAAAAAGAAAAACAAAAGCAATGTAAGGTCAGAGGGGAGTATGCTTGTGGGAAGACACCAAATGCCTTCTCTTTGGGGAAGGAGACTTACCCAGCTCTGCATCCTTTTTCGCTGCTATAGAAAAGCAAAAGGAATGAATGGTCAGAGTGGAGAGACTTTCACCCCATTTCTGCTGCCATAGCTAGACCCCCAATTTTTTTGCTCTCATGCATGGGCACAGACGACCTTGCTCCCAGACTTGTAGTGACCAGACTAAGAAGGACCAGGTCCCAGCATTTTGCAAGACTTGTAGCAGTAAGGACAGACACTTGTGCAGCTCTCTGCATCATCCCACCAAAAGACAATGGGAAGTGATTGCACATGGGTGGAGGACGTCCCTGTCCGAGAAGCGTCAGTGTAGAGCGGGGCAGCCCCGCAACTCGCTCCCCGTCCCCACCTTGATCCCCGTTCCTTTCAGCCATCCCAGCCGTGTCCCGTGCCCAGGGCAGCCCCAGCCCCAGCACTCCCCACTCCCACCCCAGGCTCCAGCTGCTCCTCCAGCACCCCCGAGCCACCAGCACACAAGCCCCCAGAGCCCACCCAGACCAGGCCCTCCCGCAGGGACACCACCAGTTCCCAGGGGCTGGAGGCAGGGACTGCAAGGACTCACCCAGCTCTCGGCTCTGTGCCGCTGAAAAGGAAAGGCGGAGGAAGAGGTGGTGAGCAGAGCAGCTTGGTTGCTGGGTGGGAACATCTGCGGGGGGCTGCGCCTTGCCACCAGCACCACGCTGCAGCCATGCTCCCTGGCCTCCCACCCAAGACGATCCTAAGGCCTTTGGCATCCCCAGGGGAACATTCCCTTCCAACTCCTATGCACATCCCTCAGCCCCGCTCCAGACCCAGGGGTGTCCCTGCAGAACACCTCCCTCCGCTCCATTCCTGCACTGCCAGCTTACCTTGCTTTCGAAAGAGATAAACACCCAGGCCAATGGACACGACAAAAAGCACAGGGACCAGAGCCAGAGCCACCATCCAGGGCTGGGCATTGTGGAAGAAGGGAGCTGAGAAAAGGCACCAGGAAAAGGGCTGTGTTTCCATGCCCGCAGGTGGAAGAGGAAGACCCAGACTTCTCCTGGGTCAGGACAAGTGCAGGGACCAGGAACACCTCACCCTGGCTGTGCCATTTGTACCTGCGATGTTCAGGGAAAATTTCCTCTCCTGCTGGAGGTGGTTGTTCCTGACCACGCAGGACAAGGGCCCCTCCATGCTCCCAGTCACGATGACGGCACCTTCGATTTCAAAGAGCCCCTCCTGGTCCTGGGAATGTGTCTGGGAGACCGAGGACAGGTGCTGCCCGCGAGCATCCCTCCACAGCAGCTGCGGCAGCGGGTACCAGCCAGCCGATCGACACAGCACCCGGATGCCTCCGGCCTCATAGCCCCCCAGGGAGAGGTGGGGGTCAACGCCTGTGGCTGGGGGAAGAGTGTGTGGCTGGTACTTGACTTGGGGAGGGATTCAGTTCTAAGGCAAAGACCCCATGTGCTCCCATGCCAAACACAGCCTAGCACACCAATGGCCCCAGGGTCTCAGGGACCAGGCACTCTGAGCACACACCCTCACCTCCAAAACATACTGGTAGGTGCCAGACCAAGAGAGCAGAGCTGCACAATGCCAGAGGCCCCAAATCACACAGAAAACCCAGGTGCTTAGCTTCCTGACAACGTCTAAGGTCTCACCCAGAACAGAAAGCAATAGTAAAGCAGACACCCGGCTGTTCAAAGGACTCTGCGACTCTCCCTGTGTGCTGTTTGGTCCCATTGCTGACACAGCTGAAGGTGCTGCTCAGCAGCCTGTGCCCAGTGCCCTCACAATATTATGATTACTTTCTTCAAGGACACCAGTGAAAACTGACAAAAGTATCCAGGGAGCTCTCTCCCCAGATATTTCCTCCACATTCATGAGCATGCTCCATGCTGTGAAACAGCTGAAACATTCAAAGGACACGTAAACTCTGCCCTGGCAGCATCACCCCAGCCACTAACCTGACACCTCCAGCTCCACAATGGCTTCAGAATAAGCATCAGCATCTCGCACGGTGCAGACGTACAGGCCATCATCAGAGGGTCTCAGCCCTGTGATTCGCAAGTCCAGGCTTCCAGCAGAGAGACCATCTCTGAGCAACTCTGTCCTCCCGGCATATGCCCCCATCTGCTCCCCATAGAGGTCCTCTCCATTGCGGTAGTGGTGCACTGTCTCAGAGAACTTCTTCCTAATCCACCTGACGTCCAAGGTGCGAGCATCGCGTTGAGGGGACAAGTGGCAGGGCAGCACGACATCCTGCCCCACGGTGGCAGTGACAGAGTAGCCTGGTCCCTCCACTCTGAGCTGGGCTGGTGTGAGAAACAATGTTGTGTTTTTGCAGTAGAGAATTATTTTTCTGTATTTTAAGGTGTAGTCAGAATAAGCAGAATTGCTAAGTAGATAAGTGGACCGTAGAAGGCCTCACTGTTCCAAAATAAGGTAGAAGCTTGAGAAAAAGAGGACGAGCAGTGTGAGAACAGGAGAACAAAGATCACAAGTTCTCAAAATATGAGAAAGGAGAAATAAAAAGGTTAAAAAAAAATAATAATCTACATATATGGTATAGAGGAGCATCAAATAGCTTGTGAACCTGTAGTACTCATCCAATGAGGAAACAGGGGAGGTGATCAGGCATCGGGTAATAGAGAAAAAAAGGTTAGGATTTGTTTACTAAAATGTGCTCCTGATTGACAGGACCGTTGCAATCGGGAATAAAATAGCTTCAGAGAAGATCCAGTCTGAAGATAATTATTTGAGATGTTTCTCACACTGGGAAATGGGGACGAGCACAGAGAGGAGGTAAGATTTTGCCATTGTAAATTTCGGGGCAGTGAGTGACAAAGGGCGTGAGTTGGTGCGTGCTGTATCCCCCATGTGCTATGGGAAACCACCTGGGAAACAGGAGAGGGAGAGGGAGGACGTGCAGGAGAAGGAGGTGTGCGGTGAGTGGGAGCCCTCTCTGCAGCATTCAGGCAAGAGAAGAAGAGCCAGAAGGGGCAGCCAAGGAAGCCCCCGTATTGTGTGAAAGAACCAAAGGGAAAGTGAAACCCAGTATGGGCGAGCTGTGGGCTCAGGTACCCTTTTTCCCAAAGCCTCTCCCCTGCCCCACAGCAGCAAGTCTGCATGCAAAGGGGGTAGAGCCCCCAGCAGCCCTGCAGGATCCTACCTGAGCCCAGGCGGAGGAGGAGCAGAGTGATGAGGGAAGTCAGGAGGCCCCTGGTATGGCCAGTGAGGCTGGGGCAGCCACAGCCCCAGGGGAGCCCCATCTGAGAGAGAGGTCCCCCAGGGGGCAGGTGGCCCCCCAGGTGTTTTTTTCCAAGCCAAGATAGATGTCCTTTACAGCACCCAGCAGAGCTGCAGAAAGTACAAGGTTACGCCCAACTTTCCCAACCTTTGCCCAGTTCCTGGCTGCAATAACCTTCCTGGAGCAACTCTGCCCCTGGGGCAATGTCTGGGGAGCTCTTCAGGGCTGGCAGCACCATTCCATCACAGCTGGGTGCCCAGTCCACTGCCTTTAGCAAGCATGAGGTGCTTGACCCCAGTGGGGGCCTCTCCAGACCTCCAGGGAAAGCCACTGGCTATGTTCGTTCGTCTCCATGCATGCAAAGAGGAATCAAACTGTGAGCAATGGGAAAATGGGGAGAGATAGCAATGAAGAGTTGAGCAGGATCGGAGGCTACAGGGAATGGGGCTCAGCTGGGTGCCGAGCCCAGAGCTGCCACCCTTTGCCCAGGGTGCTGAAGGCAAAGTGCCAGCCCTGATCCCAGCTCCATTAAAGCAGGCATGGCAGAAGGTTGGCTCAGATGGGCAGGGACCTTATTCAAGAGCTTCAGTGGATAAGGAAAGTTCCTGTTTGCTAGAAGGGAAGTCAGGCACTATGGAAGGACTGCAGAGGTACTGTTCGCCTTTGTAGGGAGAAAATTCATATGGCCAAAGCTCAATTTGAGTTGAAGCTGGACAGTATTGCGAGGGGAAATAAAATGCTTTTTATTTTTTTATTTTTTTTTTAATTTAAACTCTCTAAAAAGTGAAAGTAGGATGAGAGAAAGCATTGGTCTGTTACTTGATGGGGATGGTCAGACAGGGTCATCGACTTCACAGAGATACAGACACAGACACAGACACAGACACAGAATTTCTAGGTTGGAAGAGACCTCAAGATCATCGAGTCCAACCTCTGACCTAATGCTAACAGTCCCCACTAAACCATATCCCTAAGCTCTACATCTAAACGTCTTTTGAAGACTTCCAGGGATGGTGACTCCACCACCTCCCTGGGCAGCCCGTTCCAGTACCTAACAACCCTTTCAGTAAAGAAATTCTTCCTAACATCTAACCTAAAACTCCCCTGGCGTAACTTTAGCCCATTCCCCCTCGTCCTGTCACCAGGCACATGGGAGAACAGGCCAACCCCCACCTCGCTACAGCTTCCTTTAATGTACTTATACAGAGCAATAAGGTCACCCCTGAGCCTCCTCTTCTCTAGGCTGAACAAGCCCAGCTCCTTCAGCCGCTCCTCATAGGACTTGCTCTCCAGGCCCCTCACCAGCTTCGTCGCCCTTCTCTGGACCCGCTCAAGCACCTCGATGTCCTTCTTGTAGCGAGGGGCCCAAAACTGAACACAGTACTCGAGGTGCGGCCTCACCAGAGCCGAGTACAGGGGGACGATCACCTCCCTAGCCCTGCTGGTCACAGTGTTTCTGATACAAGCCAGGATGCCATTGGCCTTCTTGGCCACCTGAGCACACTGCTGGCTCATATTCAGCCGACTGTCCACCATCACTCCCAGGTCCTTCTCTGCCTGGCAGCTCTCCAACCATTCCTCACCCAGCCTGTAGTTCTGCTTGGGGTTATTGTGCCCCAGGTGCAGGACCCGGCACTTGGCCTTGTTGAACTTCATACAGTTGACCTCAGCCCATCGGTGCAGCCTATCCAGATCCTCCTGCAGAGCCTTCCTACCCTCGAGCAGATCGACACACGCACCTAGCTTGGTGTCATCTGCAAACTTACTGAGGGTGCACTCAATGCCGTCATCCAGATCATTGATGAAGATGTTGAAGAGGACCGGCCCCAGCACCGAGCCCTGGGGGACGCCACTAGTGACTGGCCTCCAACTGGACTTGGCTCCATTTACCACAACTCTTTGGGCCCGGCTATCCAGCCAGTTTCTAACCCAAGGAAGCGTGCGCCAGTCCAAGCCAAGAGCAGCCAGTTTCTTGAGGAGAATGCTGTGGGAGACGGTGTCAAAAGCCTTGCTGAAGTCAAGGTAGACCACATCCACAGCCTTTCCCTCATCCACCCAGCGCGTCACTTTGTCGTAGAAGGAGATCAGGTTCGTCAAGCAGGACCTGCCTTCCATAAACCCATGCTGGCTGGGCCTGATCGCCTGCTTGCCCTTCAAGTGCCGCATGATGACTCCCAAGAGGATCTGCTCCATGAGCTTCCCTGGTACTGAGGTCAAACTGACCGGCCTGTAGTTCCCCGGCTCTGCCCTCCGGCCCTTCTTGTAGATGGGCGTCACATTTGCTAGTCGCCAGTCAGCTGGGACCTCCCCCGATAGCCAGGACTGCTGATAAATGATTGATAGGGGCTTGGCCAGCTCCTCTGCCAGTTCTCTCAGTACCCTTGGGTGGATCCCGTCCGGCCCCATCGATTTGTGGACATCCAAGTGCCGTAGCAGGTCACCAACCAGTTCTTCGTGGATGGTGAGGGCCACATCCTGCTCCCCGTCCCCTTCCACCAGTTCTGGGTACTGGGTATCCGGAGAGCAACCGGTTTTGCCGCTAAAGACTGAGGCAAAGAAGGCATTGAGCACCTCCGCCTTTTCCTCATCTCTTGTAACATGTTTAATGCTTTCTTTGCATTCAACACCGATGCTGGGCTGTGGGACCCCAGGTGCCCTGAGCTGGAGGACAGTGACTGCAGGAACGATATAGTCCCAACAAACCCCGAATTTGTGTGTGATTTGCTGCTCCAGATGAATGCATACAAGACTATAGGGCCAGATGGGATTCATCCCAGAGTACTAAGAGAACTGGCTGAAGGCATACATCTTCCCCTCAAGGCCCTTCACCATCTCTGTGGCCCTTCTCTGGACACTCTCCAATAGTTTCACGTCCTTCTTGTGCTGTGGTGCCCAGAACTCCACAGAATCCTCGAGGTGAGGCCGCAGAGCGCAGAGTGGAGTGGGACAATCACCTCCCTTGGCCGACTATCAATGCCGTGCTTGATGCACCCCAGGATACGGTTGGCCCTCCTGGCTGCTAGGGCACACTGCTGGCTCATGTTCAGCTTGCTGTCAAGCACAACCCCCAGATCCCTCTCTGCAGGGCTGCTGTCCAGCGTCTCATCCCCCAGTCTGTACGTGTAGCCAGGGTTGCCCCATCCCAGGTGCAGGACCTGGCACTTGCCTTTGTTAAACTTCATGCAGTTGGTGATTGTCCAACTCTCCAATCTGTCCAGATCTCCTTGCAAGGGCTTTCCACCCTCAGCTGAGTGCACAACTCCTCCCATGGGATGCTGTCCTTCCCAATCTGATCTTACATGGGCTTCCCACAGGCAGCAGCTCTCCAGCAACTGCCCCAGTGTGGGTCTGTAGTATGAGGTACATCTGTCAGGAGCAAACTGTTCCAATCTGGGTAACCCATGGGTTGCAGGTCCCCCCAGAACTCCTGATCCTGCGGGGGCTCCTCTCCATGGGCTGTGGCTCTGGCCTGGGTTCTGCTCCTGCAGCACTCCATGGGCTGCCGCCTCCTCCAGGCCCCTTCCACCTCCTGCACCGGGGGCTCCTCCATGGGCTGCAGTGTGGAGATCTGCTCCACCTGTACTGCCGCTCCATCCACTAACTGCCCCAGTCCCCTAACGTCCCATTTGACAGCCTTCAGGCTTCTCTCTTCAATGTCATCACTGCCAGTCTGGACTATCAAAAGAGGATAGCAGACCTGAGGCGTGGAGTCGACTTCCTGAGTGTAAGCATCCTCCTGGCTACACTTTTTACCTCTTCCTCAGCTACTGGTCTCTCAAGCTCCAGGGCCTCAAACCTGTTGTGGAAGGGCACCTGGGAAGCTGGGGCCTGCAGGGGGTGTCATCGCCTGCGATGTCGAGCAGGGACCTGTCTCCATTCCTCCTCAACTCCCAGGTCCCCTCCCTCTGCCCGACAGCGACAGGGGAGGGGGTCCACCCCCATTTGGGGTGTCTCACCCCGGTACCTCTCCTTCAGGATCCGCAGGGAGTTGCCCCACCACTCTATCTCCTGCTCACACTCCCTGATAGCCCTCAACCTCTGTCAGCCTCCCCTTGCAAGTGCTCCTGGGTCCTGGCGGCTCCCTCAAGTGGGCTAGATGCCAGAAAAACGTAGCCCTGCCTGTGGGATCCCCTGCTCCGCTGCAGAAAGAGTCTGCCCTGGAGCTGATGCCTTGGCAAGATGTTGCACTGGGCATTGCATGGGGGTGTTGAAGAGTACACTGCGTGAGGACGTCGCATGGGGATGTTGCACGCAGCACTGCACAGCGCATTGCATTGCCCTTTGCAAGGGGATGTTGCACAGAGCAATACCTCTTGCAGGGTGTGGCACAGGGGCGTTGCACAGGGCATCTTGTGAGCATCGCATGGGGATGTCGCGTGTGACATCGCATGGGACAATGCCTAGAGCTTGGACAGGGCGTTGCATGGGGAAGTGGCATGGGGAAGTTGTGTGGAGCTTTGCATGGGAGCTTTGCATGGGAGCATTGCACAGAACATTGCGTGGGGACATTGCACAGGGTAGGGAAAAGGGGCTCGCCCACTACTGACCCCATCCCCAACCCTGCTCCAGCGCAGCCCCAAGTCCGCATCATCCCTGCGGAGACGGGGAATGCCCGTGTGCCCGTGCGCCTCAGCTGCCACATCTGGGGCTTCTACCCCCCCGAGGTGACCGTCATCTGGCTGCGCAACGGGGACATCGTGGAGCCCGACGACTACAACCCCATCTCCGCCATCCCCAATGGCGACTGGAGCTACCAGACGCAGGTGTCCCTGCTGGTGGCCCCAGTGGCAGGCGACACCTACACGTGCTCGGTGCAGCACGTCAGCCTGCAGGAGCCTCTCCTCGAGGACTGGAGTGAGTGGAGAGGCGCAGGACTGCACCTGGAGGCCGGTGGCCTTGGCTCCTTGCTGCCACTCACCCGGCCGTGTCCCCGCAGGTCCCGGACTGATGCCGGAGGTGACGATACTGGTGGCGGTGGCCACCGTGCTGATGGTGCTGGGACTTGGCTTATTTCTCGCCGGCGTCTACCGCTTCAGGGCCAGGCCTCCCACCCCAGTTGAGTGGCCAGGGAGAGCCGGGGCCATGGTCAAGGGCGACGAGGACTCTGCTCACTCCTCTTCTCCCCCCTGCGGGTTACACTCCCCTCCCTGGAGACAACTACCCCGCAGGTAACGGTGTCACCATCCCCATCCACATCGGTGAGGGTCAAATCACCCCATCTCTCGCCCTGTGTGTCCCCCCCTTCCCCAGGCAGCATCTGAGGACCCCCAGAAGGACACCTCCTGGCATCGGCGGTTCCCAGTTGGCCCCATCTCAGACCCGATGCTGTGGTGCAGACAAGAAAGATGCTCCACAAGCCCCGCTGGTGTCTCTGCAGTGTTCTGGGGACAGGGCGGAGGCTCACACAGTCCTACGGTGTCTCACCAAGAGTATCGGGTGTGTGGGGGCTATGGCATGGGACCCCAAAGGGCGAAGCGTGCTCTGCTTGGCCTCAGGCATGGCCCTACTGGCTGACCGAGGGAAGGGATTGTCCCGCTCTGCTTCGCCTGCTGCGGCCTCGCCTCGAGCACTGCGTGCATCTGTGGGCACCTCAGCAGACGAAGGGCGTGAAACTGTGCGAGAGCCTCCAAGGGAAGGCTACGAGGACGTCGAAGGCTCTGCAGGGCAAGGCGTGTGAGGAGACGGTCTGCTGCAAGACGCCTTCCCAGGCAGCAAGGTCTCAGGACACAAAGCACCCAGCAAATGCCACTGCCAGACTCCATCTTCCTGTACAAAACTTTATTTGCCACAGTCCTGCTGCTGCTGGGCCTTGGATACATCTACTCCAGAGGAGGGAACAAAGAGCCCCCATGACTGCTCATGCTCAGCACCAGGCACAAAGCACAAATCAACCCCAAACTAGGAGGCAAAGGTGGCTGAGACCCTTGGGTGCCAGCAGGGCTTGTGCCCCAGCACAGGAGCTGCGTGCAGGGCAGACCCCAGGGGCTGCAAGGGGCCTGGCCCCTGCTTGCAGCATCCCAGCCCTCCTCCAGCAGCAGGGAGGAATGCAGGGAACCCCTGACCCCACTGCCCCTCATTCCTGTGCTGGTCCAGCAGAACCAAGGAGAGGTGATGCAGGAGTGGCTGGAGAAGGGCAGGAGCCCCCCAGGGCTGGGGACAGGGTCTTGGGGGTGCTGTCCCTCAGGCACAGCTGAATTCCCTCTGTCCCCAGAAAGAACCAGGGGCGGATTCTCTCCCCATTGAAGGAGGCTGCTGTGAAAGTGAAGATCTCGACCCCATTGTCAGCGTTGATAAAAGACACCTGCTGCTGGGTACAGTCCAGACAGACCCAGATCCTTGTGGGGATAGGAGACAGGGACAAGGGGGTGCGAGGAGATGTGAGAGACTTGAGCTGCCCCTCATAGTACTGCAGAGCCCAGATCCCTGTTTTGGGGCTTTTGTCTATCCACTTCTTCCTCTCCACAGATGCCCTGGCCACCCCCACACCCCACCAAGAATACTTGTGCCACTCTCCATCCATCTCCACCTGCCAGCAATGTCTCCCTTCTCTGAACTCCTCACGGCCCAGCACGCAGCACCAACAGTCAAATCTCTCCGGTATTTCAGACACCTGCTGCCGTTCACTTTCCCGTCTCACACTGCTGTTGTCCTGAGACACAACAAGGTGGGGATGAGCCGTGTCTGGATCCAGGGTCACCTTCACTGCAGGGACAGAAGGAGCCAGGCCATCAGGGGCAGAGCTCAGCCCTGGGCAGGCTTTCCCCAGCTCGGGGCCAGGAGCTGCCCCACGGGGCAGGAGATGGGGCACCTCTTGGCTCCTGAACATGCCCCACCAGGGGCAGGAGAAGCACCACAGAGGGCAACCCAGTGCACACCTACGTGTATTGTGAGGCAGCAGAAACTTTCTCCATGCTGGAAGGAGAGGGGAGAGCTGGTCACAGTCCATGGCTGGTGCCCAGTGGGTGTGGGCAGGGTGAGGGGCCAGCCCTGGGCTGCTCTTTCCCAGCTGCCCACCCTCCCCTGCACATCACCTTGGTGTTGCCCTTGGGCCTGAGCACGAAGACACTTACCCAGCTCTGCTGCTTGTTCATCTACAAACAAAAGAAAAAAGCAATGCATCGATGAGAGGAGTCAGCTTCTCATCAATGACTGCTACAAACCGAAGACCCCAAATTCCTTCAGTTGTGGGGGGAAGAGAGACTCACCCAGTCTTGCAACTTTTTCCTCTGGAAAAGAAAAGCATAAGGAATATATGATCAGAGGGAAAAACTTCTCATCCATTGTCTACACTGCAAATTCTTCCAGTTCAGGGATGGACACTCACCTATCTCTGCAGCCTGTTCCACTGGAAAAGAAAAAGAAAAGCAATGTACGGTCAGATGGGAGTATGCCCATGGTAAGACACCAAATGCCTTCTCTTTGGGGAAGGAGACTTACCCAGCTTTGCATCCTTTTTGGCTGCTATAAAAAGCAAAAGGAATGAATGGTCAGAGTGGAGAGACTTTCAATCCAATGCTGCTTCCATGGCTAGATGGCTAGACCCCAAATTTTTTGCTCTCATGCATGGGCACAGACCACCTTGCTCCCAGACTTGTAGCGACCCCACTAACAAAGACCTAGGGCCAGCATTTTGCAAGACTTCTAGCTTGAAGAACAGACACTTGTGCAGCTCTCTGCACCGTGCCACCAAAACACAAGGGGAAGTGAATGGGGATGGGTGGAGGACGTCCGTGTCCCAGAAGCATCAGTGCAGAGTGGGGCAGCCCCACAGCTCGCTCCCCGTCCCCACCTTGATCCCTGCTCCTTTCAGCCATCCCAGCCGTGTCCCGTGCCCAGGGCAGCCCCAGCCCCAGCACTCCTCACTCCCACCCCAGGCTCCAGCTGCTCCTCCAGCACCCCCGAGCCACCAGCACACAAGCCCCCTGAGCCCACCCAGCCCAGGCCCTCCCGCAGTGACACCACATCCCCAGGGTTGAGGGCAGGGACTGCAAGGATTCACCCAGCTCTCGGCTCTGTGTGGCTGAAAAGCAAAGGCGGAGGAACAGGTGGTGAGCAGAGCAGCTTGGTTGCTGGGTGGGAACATGTGCAGGGGGGCTGCGCCTTGCCACCAGCCCCACGCTGCAGCCATGCTCCCTGGCCTCCCACCCACGACGATCCTAAGACCTTTGGGATCCCCAGGAGAACATTCCCTTCCTCCTCCTACGCACCTCCCTGGGCCAGGGCTCAGCCCCGCTCCACACCCAGCGGGGTCCCTGCAGAACACCTCCCTCTGCTCCATCCCTGTGCTGCCAGCTTACCTTGCTTTCGAAAGAGATAAACACCCAGGCCAATGGACACAGACAAAAGCACGAGGACCAGAGCCAGAGCCACCATCCAGGGCTGGGCGTTGTGGAAGAAGGGAGCTGAGAAAAGGCACCAGGAAAAGGGCTGCGTTTCCATGCCCGCAGGTGGAAGAGCAAGACCCAGACTTCTCCTGGGTCAGGACAAGTGCAGTGGCCAGGGACACCTCACCCTGGCTGTGCCATTTGTACCTGCAATGTGCAGGGAAAATTCCCATTCCTGCTGCAGGCGGCTGCTCCTGACCACGCAGGACACGGGCCCCTCCACGCTCCCGGTCACGATGACGGCGCCTTCGATTTCAAAGAGCCCCTCCTGGTCCTGGGAATGTGTCTGGGAGACCGAGGGCAGGTGCTGCCCGCGAGCATCCCTCCACAGCAGCTGCGGCAGTGGGTACCAGCCGGCCGATCGACACAGCACCCGGACGCCTGTGGCCTCGTAGCCCCCCAGGGAGAGGTGGGGGTCAGTGCCTGTGGCTGGGGGAAGAGCGTGTGGCTGGGGCTTGACTTGGGGAGTGATTGAGTTCCAAGGCAAAGACCCCGTCTGCTCCCAAGACAGACACAGCTTAGCACAGCCACAGCACCAGCGGCTTTTGTTCCAGGTGCTCCGTGCACCCACCCTCACCCCAATCCAACCTGGCTGGCGCTAAAAACAGAAAGAAGGGCTGCACAATGTCAGTGACCCCATATTGTCCATAAAACCCAGGTGCAGAGATCCAGCACCTCCAGGCAGCATCTCTGCACCATGCCATGCTCGTTCAAGAAGCCCCAATACTTCCTGACAAATTCTCAGGTCTCCCCCAGCACAGAAAGCAAAAGTAAAGCAGACGTCTGCCTGTTCAGAGGACTCTGCGATTCTCCCTGTGTGCTGTTTGGTCCCATTGCTGACACAGCTGAAGGTGCTGCTCAGCAGCCTGTGCCCAGTGCCCTCACCATATTATGATTTCTTTCTTCAAAGATAATCAGTGAAAACTGAAAAAAGTATCCAGGGTCTCTCCCCAGATATTACCTCCACATCCATGGGCATGTTCCATACTGTGAAGAAGCTGAAACATTCAAAGGACACGTAAACTCTGCCCTGGCAGTATCACCCCAGCCACTAACCTGACACCTCCAGCTCCACAATGGTTTCAGCATAAGCATCAGCATCTTCCACAGTGCAGATGTACCGGCCATCATCAGAGGGTCTCAGCCCTGTGATTCGCAAGTCCAGGCTTCCAGCAGAGAGACCATCTCTGGCCAACTCTGTCCTCCCGGCATATGCCTCCATCTGCTCCCCATACAGGTCCTCTCCATCATGGTAGTGGTGCACTGTCTCAGAGAATTTGTCCCAAATCCACCTGACCTCCAAGGTGCGAGCATCGTGTTGAGGGGACAAGTGGCAGGGCAGCACGACATCCTGCCCCACGGCGGCAGTGACAGTGTGGCCTGGTCCCTCCACTCTGAGCTGGGCTGGACAATGGAGAAGAGGTGAGATTTTGCCATTGTAAATTTAGGGTCAGTGAGTGTCAAAGGGCGAGCTGTGTGTGAGTTGGTGTGTGCTGCGTCCCCCGTGTCCCATGGGAAACCACCGGGGAAACAGGAGAGGGAGAGGGAGGATGTGCAGGAGAAGAAGGTGTGCTGGGAGTGGGAGCCTTCTCTGCAGCATTCGGGCAGGTGAAGAAGAGCCAGAAAGGGAGCCAAGACAGCAGCCGTATTGTGTGGAAGAACAA